TTTGGGGAACGTGAAGGCTGTGTGTCAGGATCGGTACCACGAAGGGGACCATGAGACAAGAAGGGGAGATCTCGCCAAGGACATAACGTGGCCGCAAATATCGCGGGGCAAAATACCCGACGCAGCCATAAGTCATCTCTAAGATCTTTCCGACGGACGTGCACGAAGACTCGAAGGTCTTCGAAATTTTACGACATGGCTTCCCAAGGCTTCGCCGAGGTACTTGCCGAAGAGCGGCCCTCACCTGAGGCCGCGGGTTATGGGGTGCAGTCGAGAGGGGAGGCAGACGTCGCGACCGCGCAAGTGCACAAAAGTGCCGGGATACTTGAGTCAATTTGCGTAAAAATAGATATTAATAGGAAGATAAAATAATTAATAGGAAATTTCGAGGGTAATTGTCCGAGGACTATGAATAACGTTATCGATGATCATCAGATTTTAGGACCAGGTTATTCATGGTCTCTGATAAAAAAACTATGAAAACCATGATGGGCACCCTCTCGAGCGGTACCACGACATCGGACGCGATCATCGTCGACCCTTGGACCGTCGCCTAATCACGGTACCACCGGGACCATGAGGACGAGGACGAAGACGAAGACGAAGAGCGGGCACGAGAAAACGTTCTCGGCTCGAAGAAAGGCTCGTAAAACGTCCCAGGAGTCGGGTTGCAGTTGCAGTTTGCGAAGGGACCAGACGAGGAACAATGGACCGCGACGTCACGACTCGCACCTGCATACGGGACGCCCCTGTCGGTGTGTAAGCGAACCTCGGTAAACGGCCCCACGACCTGCAAACAACGCTCGTTTCGCCTCTAAGCCCGGTTCCACCGGAATTTAACTCGGTTCCGATTCGAACCTCTCGTGACCCAACCTCGAGGTGGAACGAAGAAATTTCTGGAGAACCTGGTACTCACTTTTTCGATTTTTTTCCCCCATGCCTCAAATTAATTAACGATTAATCCCACATCCAGAAAAATTTTCCTCGTAGTTATGTAATCGTTAATTCCCTATTTAGCCAATTTCCCAAAAAATTAATTAAGAATTAATCCCGGAATAAATGAATTCCGTTATTCCTCCACCTTGCCAATTTCGTGTCAACGCCTCCCGCCTTCTCGCCGAGCAGACAATTAATTATCTCCTCGAAGTGAACACTTTCCGTCGACATTTTCCGTGAGCATAGTTAAAGACCATGTCCGACGGGTGTTTCCCTACAATTACGTCGCACCTAAAGCGGTAGCACCTCGTGGAGCGTACTCATAAAAGCTCGCGTCTATTAGCACCTTCGACCCTGAAGAGCGAATCTCGAGGTGCCCGAAACCCCATGGGATTTCGAGGCCAGGATTTTCTCGGAGAGATTTTTCTCGCCGAGCCCGAAAAACTGCGAGCCGATCTATGTATTCACGTGTACGTGTCCGCGTACTTGTGCGTGTTCGTACTTGGTGGAAAGTCGCCATACACTGGCGATACGTGTGTACGGACCCACAAAGTTCCGAGGCCCATCGAGCCGGTCCGACTGCATTTCACGTCCCCCTACTCTAGCCACTCTCGTGCATGTACATGCCCTGGGTACATACGTGTACCGATCATACATGTACGGATCGTCCTGCCTGCACGGACGCGGCAGCTCCTCGACACGATTTTTTATCCGGGACCGCAGTCGCGAATTATGGCCCGAATGTGGCATCGGAGAGTCCCTGGTTGCAAAAGGTCGTCAGAAATTGACAAAGTCAATTAACTCTCAAGGATTGCGATAATTTCTCCCGTCGATTAATGAAATCGAGAAAATAAGGCACCGATTGAGGCACACTTTTCTTACTTTTTAAAGTTTTTATGGAATTTCCATTCGCGTTGGAAGAGTCAGGATAAGCTTGAGTGGGACTCTTCGGGGCCCACTTTGAAGGGTTTTTACGCTTCGGGACGGCTCGTAAGTCAGCTCGGAAGGACTCGGGGTGCTCCAGGACTCTTAAGATTCCTGGGAGGATACACCCACGGCCAAATGCATACATTCATGGGGTTCGGCTTGCACGGGCTCCGTTCCGTGTCGGTACACCTCCGGCCTTCCCTTTCTTCGGCGGACACGCGTCGCATCACAATTTCAAATTCCCCTCCTAATGACCCGTGGATCCCGACGAAAATCGATGCGTCTCCTCTGCACGCCTTCCATCCTTCTTCTTCTTTTGTAAACGAGAACGCGAGGAGAGTATCGATCGACCCTCTCTCCCAGGCGTCGAAGTCTCCGCCGATCGGGGCGGTTTTTGTCGATTATTTCGTTCTCTTTCTATCTCTGCGGGTCGAAAACCGGAAAAATTGCTTCGCGTCACAATTTTTGTATTTCCCTTTTAATGACTCGACGAAACTCGACATGTTTGCTTCGCATACCTTCCATTTTTCTTCTTCTGTGAACGGGAACGCGATCGACCTTCTCTCCCAGGCGTCGAAGTCTCCGCCGACCAGGGCGAAATATTCGATTATTTAATTCTCTTTCAATGTCTACGGGAGAAAATGTTCTCTGGAAGTTCATTGGAAATTTATGCGAAACTTTCTTGACTTTAACGACTTGGGAAATTATTTTCCGACATTTTGGTAGAGAACGAGGAGCCAGTTATTACCGGGAAGAACTTCCTCGATCGCGGTTTTACATACAGGTCCAGCAGCTCCCGTGGATTTTCGTCGGAGGGGATAATTGCGACGTGGAACCACCCAATTTGGTTCGTAAGGTCGCCCCTCGATCCTCCATCGTTCGAGGATGGAAACCGTAAGATCGATTTTTTCCCAGGAGGCTGATAAACCGATAAATCCCCCGATGTTTATCGCGGAGGGCGAGATCTCGCCAGGACCCTTTCCGAGTCCACATGAGTGTGGACTCATGTTCTTAATTAATTCATAACGAGGTTTAAAATTTGGGGGAAGAAATTATATCGCGGAACAAATTTCAGAAATCAGCTGATCGCCAGCTGACATCCCGCCGGCGCGACCATCGACAACCCTCTCGGGTCCTTCGCGATCGATTATCAATCATTAATCATCGAGAGTACGCCGTTAAAAATCTCTCATTTAAATTACTACGCGATGTTTTTCAGGGTTTGAATGTATATTACAGTTCTATCCTGGTGCAACTATCGGCCAAAAGCCCAAACGACGTTTCGATATGTCGAGTAGTTTAGCACCCGGTGAACGTCACGTCTCGATAGTGCCTTCCGATATTTTTGAGAGTTGCATAATTCGTGGCTAAGAATCGTGCTCGTGACTTTTCAGCAACAACTCCGACACGCTCGCGTTTAATGTCCTTCCTGTATTTTCGCGGTTTCCGGCGTTTCCTCCGTTTTTCTTACAAGTAGTAACGAGATACCCGGCCGAAGTTACGCCCTCTATCTCTCCTCGATTTCGCGTTTCGTTTCTCCTCAAGGCCTCCTTCTACAAGGAGTAAAATATGAGTCATCTTCGTTTAGTGGATATTTTTTTTCTTCTGGTTCTCAAGCCCAGAGTCAACCGCACCCCTCAATGGACCCAAGGAGCACCTCTTCGAGTCGGAGACCAAGTCTCTCGTGAGTTAACCCTGAAAGGGTCACTTACCCTTCGGAGTGGCTAGATCCTCATGGCACTAATCCACAAAGAGGAAGAAACGGTGAGCGGGAACGCGCGATGCCGAGGAGTCCACTCCGCGGCGTGAACCGGCCGGTGCCGCGAAATCGGCTCGACTTTCCGGAGGACCCGGGAGCAGGTTTCGGGAGGAGGAACCAGGAGGGCCCAGGTCGAGGGAGGGCGGAGGAGGTCGGAGGAGGTCGGAGGAGGTCGGAGGAGGTCGGAGGAAGCGACAGGAGACGCGAAGGAGCGCGCGAGCAGAGTCTTCCCTTCCGGTGGACGCGCGCACTTCGGGACCTCGCTCAGGCTGGCCGCACGTCGGCCGCTCGTCGGCCGCTCGTCGCCGGGCGAAAGAGGCGAGGGCCTCCGCGCATGCGCGGCCCGAGGGCCCAAGAGTGGTGGAGGAAATGCGGGCCCGGCCGAGGAACGGGCCTGACCCCCTCCACCTGTTTTACCGACGGGCCCGACCTCCTCGAAAACGGGCCCTACCTGCCGCCCGCGCCGGAACTCTACTCGGATGCGGCAGGTGCGCGCCACCCGGCCCCGGGTCAGGCAAAGGTGGGTCGTCTCGCTTAAGTTGGGCCTTCTGGGACCTCGGCCCAAACGTAACGGGCCTGACCTTGGTCGAGTCGGCTTCTGGACGAGGTCGCATCACGGATTTGGGACACGTATGGAGGAAGAGGGTCTAAACTTGGATTCTTTTTCGTTTTCGGCGTTGTCAGGGTCAGGCCCGGGCCTTTCGAAATTAGACAGCGGATAACGTACCTTACTTTTAAAGTTAAAAGTTCTCATCGACAATCTGGAATTTTTAATCATCGTCTCGGATTTTTTATACAAGGTATTCGATTCTTGAGGTAGGTCAAGAATCGGAGGGAGATTGACATGGATTCCACTTTTTTACCCCCCTTATGCACGGTAATATTTTCCCGGAACGATCAGCGGTTCGGAGGAAAAAGTCAATTTGACACAGTTTCTCTAACCGGGTAAATTATTAATCCGCGTTATCTCCCGCGATAAATAGAATTAAAAAAGCCAACGAAAGGGGAGCCTTTCCCTCGTCGATGGAGACGGCATCGGTTCCACGGAAATTATTTTTATCATTTTATTTATTTCCGGATTTTATGATCCTTACGTTAGCAGGATTCCTTCCTTTGAGGCCGAGCGAGACTCGGGGATTTGGCCCACCTGAGGAGAGACCCTCAGATGGCAGCACCTCACCTGGAATGGCGCCTACCTGTTGCGCCGACAGGTGCTACAGTGGAGAGGCCTCCTGCAAGGTGTCGGTAACGAAACGCGAGGACAGGTAAAAGTGTCCCATTTTGAGAAACGTTGTTTTTCGTCGCCATGTTTCTCCCCTGATTTGTCAATCGTATAATTGTCGTATAATTTTGGCTCTGGAAGGAAAAATGTCTCCAGTTTCGCGCTTAAAAAGGACGTCTTTATTTCAGGCTGCTCCGGATGGTACACTTACTCGGAGCACTGGGGCTCCTGGGGTGGATTGCTCTTCGTCATCGATCATTGCCGGTGATAAGGGTGAAATACTACCTCTATATTTTAAGGGTCCTATCCTACTCTGTAGCCATTATGTACAAGCAACGCGAAACCGCCTCGAACCGTCCCCTGTCCAGGTCGACTGTCAAATCTTGGAGCGATCCAACCCTCGACGTCGGGATTTTCTCGAAAGTCCCTGAAGACGAAGCCGAAGAACGACCGACTCCGAATCTCCTCCTCTGGCAGTCCCGAGTCGAGTTTTAAGAGAAAATCGCTGTTCCGCTTTGATGGTACCGAGAGTTTCCTGAAGTCATTTGCTTTTCGAGGTCGTCGCCTCTCCTCTTCAGGGCTCTACGGGGAGGTCGATCACGTGGTCCTCTCCAGGTATCGTTTGACCTCGACGGAGCCATAGCTCTGGGAGTAGCGACCACTGTAGGACGCCCTGGCCCAGGCACCGGCCCTGTTGGTGTAACTGTTGCAGGCGATCAAGGAGTTCATGCCGTTGGGCCTGTCGATCGGCAGACTTTGTCCCCTGGACCCCAAGGGGAGGCTGATGCTCTGCGACCTGGTGCTGTCGGTCAGGGACGCCCTCAGGTCTTCCGTCGTCCCTATCTCCGTGTACGGCTTCGGTGGCCGAGGGCAACAGCTCAGGAAGAACGCCGCCACGGCACCCTAGATCGGGAACACGAAGAGCAAGATGAAGCCCAAGTCGTAGTCAGAGCACTTCTACTCGGAAACGTACCACCAGCAGGTGCAGGATCACGATGAACATCGACGCCTTTCTGAAGCCAATGTTGTCCAGTAGGATGCCGGAGACGCTGGGACCGATGAAGGCCCCCAGGGCGAAGGTGCTGGTCCAGAGGCCGCTGATGAGCCCATAGGTCTCCAGGTTGTTCGGGAACCCGTAGGATCTAAAACCAAGATTTCCTTAACGAGACCTGGACCCGAAGATATAAGGATGACCAAAAATCCAGATGCCCAAATTATTTTCCCCCTTCAATGAAAAACGACGAGCGCATCCATGCCGCACTCCGTTCCTCGTCGTGACGTCCGAGGAAGAGTATCCATCGATCGTAGAAAAAATATTCCGCCGATGGATTTATCACGAGGGGGCCGTCTGAACGTTGACCGGGATATCGCGTTAGGATTGAAATAGTTATCGTGGACTTATAAATAGACATCGACCACTTTTTCTCCAGATTGTCTTCGAGTCACGGCAAAGCTTCGGTCGACCCTGAAGAGAGGCTCCGAGGTTCCCAAATCGACTTCAACTTACATTGCCGTTCTTAAAGCATCCGTGAAGCTGGCGACCAGCTGAGCTGCCATGCCGAGTCCATGGATGACCAGGCCGGAAATGGTCATCCAGATTATGGTGGGGTATGGGATAAACGGGGCTGGACCTATCAGGCAGAACCCGATCATCACCAGAATGCATCCAATCAGGGTGGCGACCTGAAAAAAATTAAATCATAGGGTATATTGTCACGTATCTTCGCGTATGGATTTTATTACCCCTAAGAGCCGGTTAAATATATCAAAGGTACCTTCGGCTTGGGGTGCTTGTCGCACAGCCAGCCCCATACAGGAGCGGTCAGAGCATAAATGCCTCCGTTGATGACGAACATCAGGCCCAGGACCACAGGACTGAGGTCGAATTGCCGGAGATGTGGCTCCAGGGTAGCCTGCAAGAATCCAATGCTCATGCTCGTGGCGATGATGGATGCCGCGGCGACCATGACTCCTGGGATCTTCAGCACCTTCGTGAACCCTGGAAAAACGTTTCTCGTCGGTTCTCGTGCTTCTAAAAAATCGAACGATCTCAAATTGAACCCTGAAGACCCTCTCACCACCATGGTTCTGGGTGTCGTGGTCATCGTTGTTGTGCACCGGAAGAACGAAGGCTGTCATGACGGCTGCCAAGAAGAGCGCGGATCCCAGGACTGCGAAGGGCGTCGTGTAGCCGCCGATCTGTGCGGAAAAATTCAGATAAATTAGGTAATTAATTAATGGTCTCGAGAAATGAAAAATCAAGTTGCCCTCACCTGGTAGAGTGCCCCTCCGACCGTTGGACCGACGATGAGACCAAGACCGAAGAAGGTCTCCAGACTCGCGAAAGTCGTCGCGACGTTCGAGGGGAACTCCTTGGCGATGATGGCGAAACTGGCGGTCAGGAAGGCCGCGTTCCCCAGGGCCTCGACGATCCTGATCACGAAAGACAGGAGAATGAAGGGGTAGTGGCCCTCCACCTTGTCCAGCAGCCCGAAGAAGATGGCGCAGGTCCCCGTCGTCAGGATTCCCCCATTGAACAGAAGCTTCGGCCCGATGCGATTTAGCTGCAACGTCAAAATGCACTTTGCGACTCTTCTTACAAAATTAGGGAGTACACCAGAGCATCCCTTGAAGTCAGGCAACTCTTTGGGAACCCGAGTACACCTTGAAGAGGCTATTCTGGATTTCGCTTAACGGTACGCCTGGATAATTTCGAAAGGGGATTTTTTATTTATGTAATTTTTTTCAATATAGGTTAATCGAGGAATTTTTTTTAAATCGAGAGATACTAACGTGTTGTCCGTATATCGGGCTGATGATGAAGACCACCAGCTCGAAGATGCCGAAGACGAGGCCGTATTCCGTCGCCGAGGCGCCCTTCTTCTCCGCCTGGAAATGGAATTCGAGTTTTTCTTGGATCGTGTTTACTATTAACTTGACAGAGTCAAATTAGGACTTCTGTTTACTACAAGTAAGTCGTCTAGGTTCTTGCTGTTATCGGCAAGACGCCCGATTGACTCTCGCCCTGATAAATCCCGATAAACTTAGACGATCTCTGGTCCGAAGATGAACTGTCGGAACCGACGGATGTTCACTCACTACCGGAAACTTGCGCAATTCGGGTGATTTAACTTCACTTTTGAGCACCGAAAAAAGGACAAATGGGAATTATAAAAACCTACGAATCATGCTAATTAAGTAATTTTTATTAAATTCTTCTCGAATTTTTTTCCTGATATTAACAAAAGGTATTACGCTCAGGTTTTTGAGATCGACCTCCGTTTTTTGAGAGACTTATTAACGATGTCCGATATTAAGACGATGTCACGACCTCGTTATCATTTGGCAATCGCTCCACGTCGTAAATTTACTACATGTGATAAGTTCATTAATGACGTTCACGGGTGTCGTCTAGAATAGAGGAAGTCTAATCTATGACCGAAACCAAATTGCAAAGAAAAATTATGTTACTGATTATTAATAAGAATTAAAATATAACCGAAGGCGATTGCGATTCCGAAAATTTTTCCGCTGTGGAATTTCAATGAACTTCCAAAGTCGAGGATCGATTGGTCTCGTTAACCCTGCAGACGTATCGAGCGACGACTCGAAGAAGCTGTCGACATATCGCTAAAGCTGACCTCATCGGTATCCAAACCTATCTCGAATGAACTTTCGATGGTGAACCATTCGGAGACTTATCGGAACACGCGCAGATAAGATTTTGGAAATTTCGGGGATTTAATATCTGGGGTGATTGGAAGTGATTCACGATTTAACGAGGTTCAGGGTCCAACGGTGGGTGAAACAAAACTACAGGTAATTATCGAGGAAAATATGAAATCGAGAGTGGATTCGATTTAAATCCCGATGTTTCCATGTTCGATGACGGAAGATGAAACGAGCCGCGATTTCCCGATGCTTCTTCGAATGATTCGCGACATTTCTACCGAAATCGGAGCAGGAACTTACCTCGTGCGGGTAGAAAGGCGCCTGGAGGGACACGCAGATGGCATTTGCGAAATCGGCGATACTGATGACGATGAGAGTGAGCCACTGCCTTCTGGTGAACTGCACGACCATCTTCGAAAGCGTCGAGTCGCGACCTCGAAGAGGACCTCGAAGAGGATCCTGGAGAGGACCTCGAAGCGACCCTCTAAGGGTACCTACCGAGCCAGACTGCTCCCCGGTTCCCTCCAAGGACTCGCAACCTTGACCAGGACTTCGGGGGAGGTGGGAGCTCGACCACCATCGGAAGAGGGGTCAGCCTTAAGGACGAATCTTGAGCGGACCTTGGGGCGTTCCGGACTACTCTTGGCCTCTCTTCTTTCTCGTTCCTGTCTAACCCTCGTACCTCCTTCGAGGAGGTCTTGTCCGGCTCGGCAGTCGACTGAAGAGTCCGACAGGCTGGAGACGACTCTTCGAGGCCGGGTCAAAGGTCGGAAGATACGCACCACCCTGTGCTCCGATTTATTATCGGGAAGACGTCCCGGAGCCCGGCTTGTTTGTCGCAGGCCCGAGGCCGGATTCGGGATCCCTCGGGAAACGCCATCCCCTCACCTCCATGGCTTAAGGCGATACGAAAGTGTCGAGCTTCTCCAAATTGGGTACACCGAATCATTTCAAATTTTACCACGCTAGTGTAGACGTCCTAGGGAAGGTCTTGACACCCAGGGAATTTCGCATTTTACATTTCTTTATAAACATATTTTATTGTTTTCGCGTTCTTTTATTTCTTGATCGTTATGTACAAAGGGTTTCCCTTAATCTAGAAGACCATGAAGAGCACCCGTATAGTTAGTTTCTCTGGCTCGATTTTTCCTCGATTTTCCAATTAATGCATATTCAAAAATATGTATTGCAAATGCCGACGAAAGAAGTGCGCTCTTCAAGGCCGATGCGAAAATTTTTTTACAGTTGACAATTGACGGTTTCGAGGAATTTACTTTTTTTTTTTTTCGTTTCTTCTTTAATTAGTCGAGCCAGTAAATATTACGTTCTAAAGTTAAACTGTTCACGGTGTTAAAGCTACCTTAGAAAAGAAAGCTACTCATAACTGGGGTTAAGCTACAAGTAACGAGACGAAGAGGTAATTACTGCTCATGGAGAAATTAACGTCGAAATTGAGGGGGTAATTGCAGGGGTAATTTTGGCTCCTTGAGTACCATTACGTCGAGAGGAGAAGATTAGAAATAAATAATTAGCGACGTATCGATGAAACTCTCAGAACTTACGTCTAACTCCGATGTCTATTTCTAGGTCCTTGCTTCGACAGGACGTCAACGAAAATCGAGACAAAGCAGGATTGCACCTGGAGGTTCTTTAAGGTCCACTTTCAGGTATCGGAGACCCGGAAATTAAATTTGTCGAGGATTCGAGGCGCCGAAGAGCGCTCATCGGGATCTTCTTCGGCCTCTAGGAGTCCTGGAGCCAAACTTTCATGGGCACTTTCGTGAAGGCCGTGTTCAAGAAGGACTGGAAGTGCTGAGCGATGCTGGAGCTCGCGGCAGGTCTCATCTCTTCGATGATCTCCTTCGCGTTCTGGTTCAGGAACTGGTTCATCGCCTGCCCGATGACATTGTTGCCGTTCAACTCGTCGATGACGCGAAATCGGGCACGTCCGAGACTGAAGTCGATCAAGAGGCGAGCAATCCTCAGGTAACGCACGCCGTCCCTGACCTCCTGCACGCCCTGGACACGCGCGATGGCCGCCACCTCGCCTGAAAACGCCATTGGAATTTAAAACACCATGGAACGTCCAAGAGTTGCCTCATCGACCACCGTAAAGGGAACGCGACGGGGACCAGGCTGGAATTGGAGAACGCCTCCTCAAGGTCTAGCGAATTATTTAGGGGGACTCTCCGGTCGCTTGAGAAATGTTTTCATAATTCACTTAGTGGACAACCAAATGATGCGGACGAATTAATGATACAAAAAATGGTTAAATCGATCCAGAGATTGGGATCTTTGAAATATGATCCTGATATTATTTCGCGGTAATTAGAGTTCAATTTCCAAGATTTCACTCACCGAAAAACGCCCAGAATTCGCCCCGGCTTTGGATCGGGAAGAGCAGGACGTTGCCGGTCACCTCGTATCGACCCTGCAACTCGATTTTTGGGATGGTCAGGTGCAGGTCCATCCGCAGGCTCTTCAGGTCCACCCTGATCTTCGTGATGGAATAGTTTCCGGGCCCGATCGCCGTGATGTTGGAGAACAGGGCGCTGACTCTTACCGCTCCTTGCCCATTTTCCATCCCCAACTCGGGGATGGTCAATGGCTCGATCGGGGGCAACTCCAGTTCTGGGATTCCTGAAATCGCGATTCTTCGACGTATTTACAGCTGATCAGCTGATCGCCTGATCACCATCCTCAATTTATCCCCGAGTTACTCACCTTTAACCAGGTACGGACGCAGATGATTGAACGTTTTCTGGATGCACGCGTCGATCAACGGGTCCGACCTACGACACGGCAGGATGTACTCGGCTGCACAAGAAAATGCATCGTGGATTAAAATGCAGCCCGAGTTGCACGGTACGTGAGCAGAGTCGCGTAACGCGCGAATTTATATATTTATTCATTTATTTATTTATTTATGCATCTCGCGGTTCCACCGAGGACTTTCCTCGCCTTTATATGAACTCTTGGCGGGTAATTGCACGGGGTAATTGGTGTAAATGAGGGACTATGGCCCAGTTGGGTATGGTCAGTTGACTCCTGATCGGACTCCAGGAAGGAACGAAGGAAAAGCCGACACGCGATTCAACGAGTCTTGACGTCGATCTCGGACTTACTCGCTTCCGCCATTTTTACGCAATCCTACTCTTTTCCTCGGCGATAAATTAATTCATCGGGTCAAATGCATAGTTCTAATCCAACTTTTATTTCTCATTTCCAGTCGCCGACCCTGACTCTGGAGTTCCGTGAGTTGACGTGCATTCACATTTTTTTGTCGCTGCAGGAAAGTGAGATAATTGATCTTCGTTATCTTAAAATCGCGTTTCCATCGATATAAGGTTTTCTTGTCACCGTCGCGCCGATAGATCGCTTCGATCGAACTTGTGGAAAATATCGAGGTCGAAGTGGCGCCACCGAAAAAAAAGGAATTATTTTCTGTTAGGCGCGTAGGAGGAACGCGATGCCGTTTGGCCGTCTGGTTCGGCACACCTTCGCTTTCACCTTCTCCGATCGGTACCTCCTGGTGGTCCAAGAACTTGGGTCCTGGGAACGCGAGGACCCTGGTCAGGGTTTCGTTCGGCGGTCCCAGGACTTGGAACCAGAATTTGGTCCCAAAGTCGAATCCGATTACGGATCAAGTAACTCCTTGCAGAAGGGATCCAAATGTTGTACTTTCACTCTTCGCCACGGCGCGTCGCTCCGCTCGGTAATGCCGATATTCGTCAGCTCCGACTTTCTCCGGGCAGCCTGCTTCAGGGTTATGCAATCTCTGACATAACCTTCGTCGTGCCGGGTTACGCCATGTTTGCTATTACACCGGGACGGCCCATTAGGGACGTTACTCGGCTTTGCTGCTCCGAAGTGACTCTCCTTTCTGGACCAACCTCCACCCTTTGGGTCGTTAATGGCCGCCAGGAATTTAATCCTTCAAATTAATTCACTCTACCTCATTCGTACTTTTTTCTACCCTTGTTTAGTCTCCACTAAAATTCTCGGGATTACATCGAATGCAAAATGCCAACGTTTTAATTTATTTTCGTTTAACGAGGGGCTTTTATTTGAAACGGCCACCATTTTTAGACATCCTTAATCCTGGAAACGAACGCGCCGGGTAAACGGATATTCGGATGAGCGTTCACGCACCGCGAGTTCCGAGAACACTGATTATCCCGGTAGTAAAACCTTTGCATTCCACTTTCTACTAATTTTGCAACTCCCTTTATGCCACTTGTTTATGTAATTTCGCCGTTTATGGGGTCTCGTTTTCTGAACGGGTAGCGGTAAGTTATTCTTCTTTCCTCGCACTTTGCGGTCCGGTCCTTCGAATCTCCGGGATAATCTCGGTGGTCGGAAGGGTGATTCAGAAACGTGACTTTTGGAAAACGTGATCGATACTCGGGTTTGACTAAACCGTTGACGCACTTTTCTCAACTTTATCCCTTGCCAGTAATCGGTTTCCGTGTCTTCGGGAGGTCCAGATTATCATTTCTTTCTTGTCAAGGAGATATCGTCCCTTGACGAGGAAATGCACTCCGGTTAAAAGTGTCTAATAAATTGATGGAAATAATTATCATACGCAAAATATATATTTTTTTATATCAAGGAAAAAATTCCCTTTCTTGTTTTACATTTTTCGGCGAATTCCGGGAAAATAATTCGCACCGAATGCCCATGATTCTGGAAATTATTGTCGATGGTTTTTAGCGGCCCCGAAAGTAGGCCGACCATTTATTATTCATGAGCGTTATTGTTGGCCGCGCAAAACGCTTTGGAGCGAGTCAATTGCGGCGTAAATCAGGCGATTACTTTTAGTCCTGTCAAATCGTAAAATGTCGGCATTCTCGGGGCGAAACCGAAAGTCTACGGAAATAGAAGAATGACTCGAGTCAACGAGGAGGAGCTTTCATGTCTTGCATTCCCGATCGCACATAAATGAATAGTCAATGCCTCGTTTCCGCAGGAACTCGAATCCGCTCGATTTATGGTAATAATTCCGCGGATACTTTCCCCGCATTATCCGGGAATGTTCCGTCCAGGTCGTAAAAAAAAAAAGGATCGAAAAAGAAAGGGTTAAACAATGCAGGTTTGCCCATTTATGCATTTTTAATTTTTAATAATCGGAAGGAGCGATGCAAACATTCGCTGACCATCTTTATACTTCCACAAATAATGTCGAAAGTTTCTGGATTAGCGAAACTTTATTTGACAATGAATAAATTCAGTTGAATTTTTTGCAAAGTTGACCAGGGTAAAAATCAAGAATGACAAAATTCATCGGAGGAAACATTGAAAACAATTTTTACCAGACCAGGTTCACTCACGTATGACAAAGTCGGGTTCATTGGCTCCGGGGTTGTCCGTGGTCGGGGTCTCCGTAGAAGTCTCTTGACAGGTCGAGAGGACGAAGGAACCCGCCAAGAAGAGGTACACGAGGTCCATCCTGGAGAACATCTTTTTCCTTTCCCCACCGAATTAACTGGAAGTGACAACGATTTTTCTCTCTTGACCTTTGATAGTTAACAATTTGACGTTGAAAAACGAGTCGTCCCCTCACCCTTTGGTCTCGCGATTTTGGGATGTTCTCCAAACTCCGACGCTCTCCTTCGACGCTTCCGGGGCCAAGCTCGGGGAGAAGTGAAGCTGCGGCTCTCTTCAGGACATCCTGAGATGCTTCGCAGGGGGTCGAGGAGGCTGAAAAAGGAGTCACCCGCGCCGACTGCTTTGTGATAGACTAAAGACGGGCCGCCTCCATATTCTCTCTTATATGCGAAAACCCCTACCCTGAAGTCGCACTCGGGAGCTCTCTACTGCCTCTTTCTTCGTCCTCCAGGTGCGAGAGCGGGTCGACGTTTCGTTCTTCGACGTCCTTTTGGATCCTCAAGAAATTCGAGGTAAAGGTCGCGAGCTTCGTTTTTCTCGAAACAGAGGAATCCTTGGGATCCCGGCAATTAAGGACCTCGATATATTATCCTGAAAGTCTTCCGCCAAGTTTCCTGCAGGTGCCTCCGCGTCACAGGTGGAACGCACCGTGTTACATCTCTCTCGTAGGAAAAACGAAAAGTCCACCTTTTGTTGTTCGCGCTTTCTGCGTTTCAGGAAATTCGGGTGCTTCTTCCTGTTTGGGACGTTTCTTATTTTTCTCCTTATCCAGCACCTGCTTTGTTGCTCCAGTTTTCGGAAAGATCTCCGGCGAATACCGTACCGTTCGTCATGGGATTCGCAAGTTCGCTCGGTGCATTGCTCTTCTTTGTGAATTTTCCTACTTTTCGCCGATCGTGATCGCCATTTCTGATCTTGATCCACCAGTCGATTCCGATCACGCGACTTGCCGAATGTTTGTTTTCCAGATCAATCGATCCCCTGATGAATACGGCGGGGATATGAAAAAATTGTTCCCTAAGTAGAAAAAGACACTTTCTCCGGATGGATCAGCCGATAGGTTACTTTATTACGTTCCGGTATCGTTACGCACAGTATGGTTAAGATTGAGTAACGCGAAGAGTGGTATAACGGATCCGCGTAACGTCGCTATCATCGAGTCGCGATACAGAGACCTGGATGACCATTGCGAGACGTTATTGTCCAATCGATTTCCCAAGATACATTTTCCCGGCCATTTTCTAAGCCCTCGTGAAACCGCCCATGACCTATGCGAGCACTAAAACCCCGAATTTCCAAATTTCGGTCATGCCCCGACTTACGGAATTCGCTTCACGGTCGAACCAAAAGAGACCGACGCGGCTTGAAAAACTCGGTCGTAACGTAATCTAGAAAACGTGAACCGATAGAAAAATTTGAAAAAAAATACAGACTAAAAAAAATTTAATAAGCCCACAGCTGCATTCACGATGCACGCTTTGGAGCCTTAGGAACTAATTAGAGAAATTTTCTTGGGAATTTTCGGGTTACTGTGAAATTTCAGGTTCTCATTTTTGTCGGAATAGGCGGTGTGCGCACTTTGTCGCGGTCGCTCTTTGGAACTGCTTTTTGCCCGGATGAGCCATCAGACATTCGTCTGCAGTCAAGTGGTTTGCTTTCCGTTATCGAAAACTAAACCCTCGGGTCGAAAAACTGGTCGGGGACCACTCGACCTTAGGAATTTTCCTATGCGGTTCTCCAGAGGAAAAGGAACGACTCGAGAGCGCGCAACGCCAAAGTTGCGCAAGCTGGCTCGTTCGCAAAATTGCCCTCGACTAGGAACAACTGGAATTGTTGCAGACGAGGTCGGGCAATTTCCCGAGCTGAACCCAGGAAATGTGCAGGCTTCAACTATGAACGCGAAATTGTCAAACTTCGAGAAGATGAGACGAAGGCGAAATCTCTGAGTGACGAAATTCCCTCTGGAAATCTGGAAGAAATTTAGGGAAAGTCCATTTCGATATCCAACACCCACTCCTGGATTCCAAAATCTGCACCGCGTGGTAACTCGGCTTTCCACCTTACCCATGATGTCGAAAAGTGCGACACTCCAAGGTAGACAACCCGTTGTCGGCTCTGCACACTTGTTGCATATACACCAGGGACACTGAGATAGCTGGAGAGGCAAATAGCGCCTGATTGCAATTTTCCTCCGTACGTGGATGTACGCGGTACGAGGTGATAGAATATCTTCGGGGACTGCAATTTAAGACAGTGCAAGATAGCGATCCGTATCTTACTAATTACTCGTATATTTATCACTTTATTTAATAATATATTCCTTAGTTTACTTTCTAGTTTATTAAGAAAATCTTTATGAAACGACGCGCTGGTTTCGTGGAGTTATCCCGAGTTATCACGCGATGCAGCTTCCACGAGATATCGAGTCGTCCTTATTTTCCTCGTTAAAGACGTGCCACTTCCTGGGAAGAAGAGTAAAAAATCTCCAGGGACGAAATTTTGTTCGGCCAATTTCTAGATTTATGAAAAATGAAAGAAAAAAAAAAGAGATGTCCCCACGTGGACGTCAACGCAGCCATCGAAACACGTCGGTCGATGTTCCATCGCTAGAAGAGGCGCAACTTCGATTTTTGGTCAATCAATTTTTAGTTTTTGGAAATCAGGGGGGCAAAAGGGTGTCGAGGGGATATTTGGAGTAGATCTTGTTGGAGAAATTCTTGAAGAGGCTGGAGACCGTGTCTTCAAGGGCTGGCTTGATTTCCGCCGCCACGGTCTTCCAGTTGTCGTTGAGGAAGAGGTTCATGGCGTCGGCCAGGGTCTCGTCGCCGTTGAAGAGATTGTCGAGGTGGACGCTGGCATGGCCGACGTCGAAGTCCACGTAGAAGTCCGTCACCCTGAAGTGCGACTTTTCGGTCTTCCTGTCTTGGTACCTCTCGCCCTGGACCGTCGAAACCACGTCGATGTCCGTGTAGTTCCCATGGGCAGTGCCCTTCCCGGTGATGGGCAACATCAGGATCCTGCCCTCCATGGTGTAATTAGAAGTCATCTCCAATCGGGGGATGTACAGCTTCAGCCTGATGCGGTCCTTATCTTGGTCGATCCTGAAAATCAAAATTAATTTCTCAGGGTGATAATTAATTATTGCACGATTCTTCTAAAGATGCCGTTGGCGTCGAAAAGGGTTTCGGCATTTTATTTTCATTCGATTGTATATTAATATAATTAAACGCGATTTAAGGCAACGCGAAAGGCGCTCACTTGACACTTTTCAGGACGAAATCCGTCCCTCCCAGGACTCTGATGTTGGTGTAGGTCGATTTCACGGACACTGGTCCAGCTTCTTGGCTGATTTCGATCTGAGGAACGTGGAGGGGTTCGCAAGGTGGGATGTGAAGCTGAGCGATGCCCGTCTTCAGGTAAGGCCTGAGGCCCTCCACGCTGCGCTTTATGCACTCGTTCAAGTTAGGGTCGTTGCGTCGACATACCTTCAGGAAAGTGGCTGGAAAATGAAGTCCCAAAATTTCGACTTTTCCCGCTCAGGAGGTCGGAAAGTCGTCGGGGGAAAATCGGATCGGAAATCTGGGCCGGCACGCGAGGTGACGCTCGATTTTCGAAATCGTCAATTTGTCTGCAAATCGGAGCTGCTCCGACTAACTGGTCGACCTTACTCGAAAATGTCCACGACCATGATCGACACCCGATCCGAGACGAGTCTCGATCCATGTAGATCCACATAACGCGATTCTGAGATTAATTTCCCCGCGGTATTATTTACCTTTATATAATTTTTCATTTTCAGATCCTCCTACACATTTCTACCGGACACCTTTACAAGCCAGGAGACTTACTCTTAGGAGAAGGAAATTATACTTAATTATCGTAAGTGCCGGCAAGACCGTAATGGTAATGACTGGCTGTTCAGGTACCGAAGTGGAATTATTACATCCGCGACAATTTTTCTGGTTAATTTAATACCGCGGGAGCGGAGTAAAAAATGTCGCTCTAGGGAATTTCTCCATTTTTGGAGGGATTCTTGTCGAGTTTTGGACATTAATTAAATTAATTAATTGGTAGATACAGGATCGAGGGCGCAGCGATGGGGCGAAATTCAAGGGCGAGTTCGTAATCGAATTTGCTCGCAAATTCGTCCCTTGCGAAGATCGAAAGTTACTTTCTCCACGTAACGATGGGAAAAGTCGGCTCGTTAGTCTTTGACGACCGGTCACGGTTTCCTCGGTTGTGTTCGGTGCTTTCGCTCTCGGGAACCAGTTTCTTCCTCCAGGACGAGTGGCCTTCCCGTTCCCGGGGCATTTACAGGGAGAACGAGAAAATCCGAGAACAGGAAACGAACGCGAGGTCGTTCCGCGAAATGCGAGAGAAATTTCAGAAGCAACCGCCCCTAAACTTGGAAATTCAGATTCGGAGGTGGAGAAAAATTTCAGAGATTATTTATGCATTTCGGGGGAAGAAGAGGTGGTGTGAAAAAATTGGGGAGGGTGCGAAATCCCTGACTTACGAATTTCTGGGGTGGAGAAGACCTCGGCGAGGAGTCCGAGGGCGCAAAGAGAGAAGAGCCAGAAACGAGGGGACCCACCGTGTCCCATGATGGCTGCGTTGAAGACGTCCACGAAGAAATAAGTCGAGCCACCACCGAAGGCCCGATAAAAAATCCGAGTGGCCTCGGGCCGGCCGGCAATGCGCTGACTCCAGCTTTTCGCCGATTTCGAAACCCGCGACCTGCATTCTCAGAATCCAAAACGATCGGTTCTGTAACGCCGATTACGAACTCCGAATCCAAATAACGGCCGACGACAATCGGGAAATCGAATCAGCTGACCCGAAGAGCGGTACCGGTGTTGCGATATCCGCCGATCGGGAATGTTTACAAATCTTTGGCGTCGATCGTCCCGAAGAGACCGATGCTTGCTTCCTTCCCGAAGACTCATCCCTTCTGGCCCGAGCTTCCAGGACACCGAGGAAACCTGAAAAAAAAATACCTTGAAGAAAAACGCGAAATTGGAAGAGGTCGACTTTGGAACACGTGGAAAAGGGGGTGTAAAGAATGGCGGAATCTGGACCATCCCTGGAATTCGGTCTGGATCCGATCGAGGAGCCTTCTGGCTCGCGTAAACGCGATGGCACGAGAGGTTTTTCGCATTTAAGGTCGTTGCAGGACCTTGCCCTCCATTGCGACTCGACGCGTGTCGAGGAGTTAAGGAAATAAAAAGGAGAGCAATGTCTGGCTAACCGTAGGATATCAGGCTAGGCCGAGTCGATGACGATGACGGTCCGTGGCCCAGATCGCGCGCCCTTCTACGGTCTCCTATAAAAACTCTCCCGAGATGCGTCGTCCACAGCATTCGGTACCCTTGGATGCAGGAAGAGGTACCCGAAGATCCCCAGCATCCGCGACAGGTCCACCTCTTCTGCACCCACAAAAAAGCGCCCGTCCCAACTTCCTCCGGATCGACTACTAAAATCGAGGGGTGAGTCTTCAACGAAATCCAACCCCAAAACCGTGACGACGGATAAATAAAAATTAATATAGATGTATTTCTAACATTTTTATTTGGTCTTCAAGGTTTGGGAGGTCGGCTCCGAGAAGTGGAACTTTTGTCAAGTGAGTCTGCGAGAAGGACCAGATTCTTCGAGATGAAGACGAGGGCCTCGATTACGTGGTTGGTGTTGGTCGTTGCGAGCATGGCGAATGCGAATCTCCTGGAGATGTCGCAGACCCTTTGGACCAAATTGCTATCCGGAGGTCTGGCAAAGGTGGGATCTCTAGATCCCCTTCGAGTTCCCGTGATCAAGGTGGATCAGTCCGAGGGAGACACCAGCTACAGGATCGTCCTCAGGAACGTCGAGATCACGGGGTTGAACGCTTCCAGCCTGGACAGCGTCCACGTCGCGAGGGGTAGACTAAAATCCAACCTCAGTGAGTTCGAAGCCGGCTACGTCAGCTACAGCGACCTGAGAAACCTGGACACCATCAGGTACAGGTTCCACACCCTGGTGAAGGAGTCGAAGAACGCAACATCCGACTCGACTGGACGTCGCGATGGGGTATACTTCCAGAAGACCGACACCGACCAGCAAAAATACCCCAACGGGAACTCGGAATTCAGAATTCCCTCCCAGGGGGTGTCTCAATCCCAGGGAAGATACGGAGAGTCCTTCGAGAGCCAGAATTTCAGGTTCCAAACCGAAGATCGACGTCCTGTAGAACTCAGAAGAGGCCAACCGGCGCAGACCATCTTTGCGCAGTCCCCAACATCGGAAGAACGCTTTGGGCAGATTTCTAGAACAGGTTCCATTAAATCTGGAGAGTTTCGCGCTCCTGTCAGGGGTGGAGATGCCGAAGAGTACCCTGCAAAGGAACAGAACCCGGCGCCCTCGGCGTCGCAGAACGTGGAGACCAAGTCCAGGCCAGAGGGAGATTCGGAAAGCGATTCTGTGGTGCCTCTTCGGGGTTATGGGGTCCCGCAAATGGTCCTAGGAAAAGCCATCGTTGAGGGGGAGGCTGGAGAGAGAGTTGGTCAGAACTATGGGAGCAGAGAGCAGCTCAGGGTTGGGTTTGGTCAGGGTGAGAGGAGGTTCTCCAGTGGAGGTGGACAAGGAGTTCCCACCAATGGGGCAGGTCAAGATTTTGGTGCCGATAGGTTTAACGAAGATTCCGATAGCTCCTCCCGGTACACGTCCACGAAGTCAGGCGCCAAACTGGAGCAGCAGCCAGGATACGTCGACATCCTCTACGCCGACAACGAAGGGAAGGAGATTAAGCACTTCGGCAACCTGAGGATCGACGCCAGCCAGGAGACCAGGGTCTACGGCTTCAGGGATATCATGAAGGTGAAGATCGTGAACAGTGAAACCCTCGAATCTAGAAAATATAGGAAAATCTATTTTTTTTTTTTTCAGGACATTCGGGAGAGCATGAGGTACATCGTCCACAACTTCACCGAGGGCGAGTCCTTGGAGAAGAGGAACGATAAGTTCAGGGCGGCCATCGAGACCAAGAGGATCAAGGACCTCGTCAGGTACGCCAGGATGTACCAGGAAAAGGATGGATATTTCGAGCAGGGCATGCAGCTGATCTACCATCTTGGTGACCTCGAAGGAGAGGATCCCAAAATCAACGAGGCGAAGCGGAAGAAGAGGCAGCACTCCGTAGAGGATGTCGAAGTCGAGGTGAGACTCTCGAATGTTTCCCAAATTTTTGTCGGTTTTCGTACACGGAAGTCCCGGTTTCTCGAAAATGAGATGGCTGTTGTTCGGCGATCTCCCAACGCGGAAGTCTGACGAGAAAAATGCTCTCTCTTCAAGGACGACGTCATGCACGTCATCGTCAGAGTTCACGTGCCCAAGTTGAACGTGAAGGCCGGATATACCCTGACGGGAAAAGTCGACCAACAAGTTGTACGGGGAAACGGCCTTCTTTCTGCAAATTTCAGTGAGCTGCAATTTTTCTTACGCAAAATAAGACAATCGGTGTCTTAAAAATCTGCCTAAATTCGGAATACGCTATTTTGCATTTCTAAATTAATTAATTTCTGATCAAAAGCCGACCTGATCGGAGACTTCACCGTGGAGCTGAAGAAGATCAACGAAGATCAGCTGATCGTGCGAGCAGCTAGAGCTAAATTGGTCGCCAGGGACAGGAAGGTCAATCTTCAGGGAATGGACCAGAAGGGCCCGGTGGACGCCATTTTGGTGCACGGTATGATCTCGCTTTGTTACCGCACTGGCCACAGTGACCAAACCGGAAAAAGAGGAAGAAATTCCAGCGAGGAAAGTTCGAATTAATCCGACGCGATCTCCGATACTCGTTGTCGCAGGGCGCACGACTCGTTACGTGCCCGCAATTGCGTAAGTGCGTGTACATACCTTGCGGAAGGTTTCTTTCTTCCTGCACCTTGGGCTGATCTTTCAACTGCGAGAAACGATTTCGGAGAAAGCATCGATCCGATCGAGTAGAATTTACTCGCCTCGAAGTCACTCACGAAATCGAAGTTGCCTTCGGGGTCTTAAAAAAGACTCTTCCAACTTTCTTCCTCGCGTAAATCTGTAAGTGTGCTATTTCTCGTTCTCCAATCTTCGCCATATTGTCATTGACCCTGGAATTGGCGAAACCATCGCTTGGAAAAAAAAAAGTACTTTATGGAAAAAACGAGACACTTTCAGCTCCGGCAAAAGTGAGCAGGCTTTCTTACAGCTGAGCAGCGTCACGGTTAGCGGATAAACTCCCTGTTAAAAGCGAAGAAAAAAATCGATCGCTTTCCATTTCAGGTCTAATGGCCGCAGAGGCTGTCGCGGCGATGCTGGCCGATGACTTCGCCTCGAAAGCTTTAACCGAGAACAGCGCCGACGCGATGATCTACAAAATGTACAAAGACCTGCCAGTAAATTGATCATCGGCTCTGAGAAGCAGAATCTCCCAGAAAAATGAAGAAACCTGGGAATCAATCCGCCCGGGAGAACTTGCAACAGTCCGCCATCTTGGAAATCAAGAACTCGACCGATTTCGTAACCGTTGCAACCGCTCATATATTTTGGCACAAAATGGCGGCAACACATATTACTAGTTACACCCTTTAGTCTATTTATTTGCTAACGTATTTCCTAGTTTATTTATTAGCTTGTCATTTACTGTAACAATTCTCTCGTCGCGTTCCTCGCGAAACTCGGGAACTCCCGAAATACATGAGCGGTGCTATGTATATTTATTTATATACTTGTAGGAATTGAGCCGGGCTAGAAAATGAGCCTTCCGGTGGAGGAAGTCGTAATGTCGAGGGGAATAGGAAAAAAAAAGGGTCCCCCGTGGGATCGATCTCGCGACCCACTCGAGAAATTACGCGGTCTTGTAGGTGAAGGCTGACGCAGTTATTAACGTAATTATTCACATCCATCTCGAGTCTTTGTAACGTCTCTTGACATTCGCACGATGCAGTCGAAGCTGAACCAGCCGGTTGCAAGAAACTCGACGATATCCACCTTTGAAAATTTCCATCACCCCGAAAGTCGAATTTTGAGCGAAGCGATCTCATGAAACGTCAATTTTCTGTATTTTGCCTCTGTCAGAATTAATTTTGACGTGCAGCTGCACCTGTTCAGCTTCGATCAAAAACTGACTGGGGTAGGATGTGAAGCCGAGGCGCAGGTAAATTCATGTAAATACCCGACCATCAACTCCAGGATTACGATATCCTTCGCGAGCATAATAGAGGCTGTTCCATGACTTTACGAGCACTTATGTAACGAGCCGTGGATAGGTTAACCCGTCAATCACCTGGAGAAATAAAAGCACTGCGAGGAAAAAGGAAAAGATGGTAGCGAATATATTACCACATAATCAGAGGCGACACAATTTCGGGGCATCGTGTACTTCGGACAAATCCTGGAGACTATTTCGGGGGCCATTTCTTTTCAGTTGCAAAGGGTTACATCGATTATAAATCGCTACGATTTAATTTCATGTATGTAGCCACCTGTTTTGGAAAAGACGAGATGAGAATCACTATGACCGTGTGAAGAAAAATTACAATATGGGATAATTAAAATTCAGAGATGAAGAAAGAAGGGAGCGAAGTCGAAGTCGCTACGGCCCTGAAGGAGTTAAAAGGAGGCACTCTACCGTGGTAAATTCACTATTGCCACTCGGAGTGGGGTTCTTGGAGAAAGTGTACTTAGTTTATATATATCGGCACTCTGGGGCCATCGTACGCATTTTCGATACCGTCTCTCGCTAATTGGGACCGCACCGGTGCATCGGATTTCTCACCTGGCGATGGCGGTCCTCCAGATTGGAATTCTCTTCCTCGTCGGATGGACCCAGAGAGCCGTCTCGGAATTGCGTGAGTGGTCCATTGTCAATTTGTATCTTGCACCTAGAGTACAGAGATCGATTGCACAGGTCGTTAAAATAATGGCAGGATAACGTAAGGGCAACTCCACCGGCGGTATCATTTAATTTAACATAATACCCTGGGCAATTTTGCAACGCCATTTTATTTCGTGCTCCTGTAATTGTTATTTAAATTAATAACTCCGAATATTTGCGAGCCCCCCGTCCATTTAATTGATTATCTGCTTCGACAACTGTAATGGCTGTCTATCTCGAGATGAGGAGGAAATTTATTTTTGCTGACATTTTGACTGACCTCAGTTTGGCATATTGCGCAATCATAGCGAAATCGGTAATTCTTTTCGCGAGGTTGAGCGTTAATATTTATTTACGACTTCCCTTCCCTGGAATTATGCAAGACCACTCGAGTGACACTTTCCAAGTCGAGAGTCGTGGCCGAAGAAACCCACTGGGATCGGATACCTTGTTCGTTCCTTCGATATTTTCTTAATATCGCTATCGATGATAAAATCCTGTTTTCTCCATGTCGATTCACTCGCAAAGCGCGTACAAGTACACGATGCCCTCGCCCATGCAACGAGGAATCCGCGACATTTCACTTTCTACGAGTTGCACTTTCAGCTACTGCAAAGACGGGCGTTGAATTTAATGATTTTTGCGCATCGTTTAATCAACTTTGGACGGATCTAATTTCTGCACGTTATTTCACGAATTTTCTCGCGTTTATTATTTTACGCGCATTTTTCGACCTCGCTCGTTACGCGGACGAAGAGGTAGACGACGAGGAAGTCTTCAGGGTCTTGAATCCGTCTTGCATTTCAGCCGCCGGTGTCACTTCCTGTCCAAGATCCACGGACGCCAAGCAGTATGACAGGTGCATCGTGAAGCAGCTAGAGGCCATCACTCCGTACCTGGCGAAGGGAATTCCATTGTTGAAGTTGCCAGCCCTGGATCCACTTTATCTTCCCTCGCTGGGGGTCGACAGGAACCTGGAAGCCTTGAAGCTGAAGGCCAACATGAGCCAAATCCGCGTCCACGGCGGCACCAACTTCTTCGTCGACGAGCTGCACGCCGACCCTAAAGAGCTCACCGTGGCTCTGAAGGTGCAATTGCCCCACGTCCACGTGACAGGGAATTACGACGTGCAGGGAAAAATCCTCCTCCTCCCCCTGAACGGTCAGGGAAGCTTCAGGGGGAATTTCAGTAAGTCTCTTCGACATGCTCTTCGGTCCTATCTCCGCTCTTATATTTCGGGACTGTCCATATACGATCCATAAAAATGTATTAATTTATTAATTTATTTTTTTTTATTTTAGCCAACACGCAAGCTCTGGTGAACGCGAGAGGTAAGGAGGTGACGGATGCACAAGGTGTGAAGAGGATCGAGGTTGACAAACTCGCGACCAAAATTCGAGTCGGCGATGGCAGCATCAAATTGAAGGCTCCACCGTCTCACACGATCGCAGGTGATTAAAAAATTTATTGTCAGTCGTCTTTCCCTATTAGGCTTCCTTTTCATCGATTTTCCATTTTCAGCCGACGCGGCCGCCACGTTTTTCAACTCAAACCCCAGGATCGTCCTGGATATCGCGAGTCCCATCATCGAGGACACTGCTGCCACTGTCAGCAGAGCCTTGGCAGCCAGGGCACTCAGTGTCCTTACTAAGGACGAGCTGCTCCCCTAGTTTCAAGTTTCCCATGTTTTTATTTTTTTAATTTTTCTATCCCCTTCCTTTTAATTATTGAGTCGTTCCATAAATTCATGGACGAAGCGATTTAATCTCAACGCGCAATCCTCGAAGGAAGTTTACTGCAATAAACATTTGTCCGCGAATTTGTGGAAGGACTCAATAAAAACTCAAGGAGCCTGACTTCGCGTCATTCACTCGAAATTATTGCACCGGAAGTCTTCCATAACACAATTCTTTTGAGGCAACGAGGAACGCTTTAAATGGCCCGAATGATTTTATTTTCACGACGCAGGAAATAAAGATTGTTGCTTATTTTTCTACAGATGGAGCGATGATTTGCGAATCCTGATTTTCGCGACGACTCGCTTTTACATTTTTGCATGTTTTAGTGACGAGTGGGAGGAATGTCGGAATTTTACAGTTCCAAAAATTCGTCATTCCTGATTTAGTCGATGGGGAATAATTCGTCGTAAGTGAACGTAGTGACGATCTTATTGGCCACGTCGGTAAATAAATCGGCCAATGACGTTTCCAAAACTGGCTTGACTTCTTCCAGAAAGAGAGCACTGTTGGCGTTAAGGATCTCGTTGCTGGCCGGGCCTGGAAATGATTTAATTTTGATATTAATTAATGTACCATTTTCTATGCGCTATTTTTTAAAGTGAAGAAATAAGTTCCGAATTAATTCCCACCCAAAATCGGGTCTCCGCCGAAGAGGTTGCTGAGATAAACGCTGGCTCCTCCGATCCTGATGACGACCTGCATCCTTTCGAAATTCAGGTACACTTTATCGTTCTTGCTGAACTTGTGAGCCCTCAGGATCACGTCGGAGTTATATCCGGCTGAAAGCGAGCAATTAAAATTAATTTTTTAATTAAATCAAGGGGAATCGTTACTCGCGAACTCTTACTAAAATTTCCTGTTATGGTGCCATCTCCTGCGAGCCTCAAAAGAAGGATCCTGGCGTCGATTTGGTAACGTCCTTTGAAGCTCAACCTATCGAAGCCAACCTTGAAGGTGAAGACGACATCGTCAACGTTGGCTTTGAGGTTGCTGACTTTGAATTTGGAGGGACCATCGACCTAAAAACGGATTCGATAACCCTGAAGAACTAATTTCTCAATTTTCTTTATAATACACTCCACGAAATTAAATAATCACTAAATACGATCCGATCGATCAGGGGCTCGAAAACTCAAACTTTGCCTTCATTATACCTTGAGAACGTTATAAACCGATTTACGATAGAAGCGGCACTTTGACCACATGAATCACGCAATGACGGAACTTTACCTTCCAACCTCTGTGCCATTGATTTTTCCGATTTTGCTAGATTCAGATTACAGGTTCTAGGTTACTCGGAGATCCTGCGCAAAAGAAGCACGTCTAATGAAGCTTGACATCACCGGAGTCATTAATACTGAAAAATTGCTCCTGGAAGGTAGATATTACAGGTGAGCAGGAAAGTGATCTTTTCTTCCGTTGCCATTTTGTTGTATCAAAAAAATTCAATTCGAGGAATTCAAGCGTCCAGATCGGTCGGAAATGTCTGGTAAATTTAATAGTTGACCAAATTTGCAAGTAACCTGTAAATTAGTTATATTAACGTCCAACCTAGCACCAGTGGGTCCTTTCAACAGTCTTATCTGGTCAAGATAAAGAGGCTCGATAGGAGGAGCCCCCAGTTCGGGGATTCCTTCCGCCAATTTCTCTCTCAGACTCTCGATGGCGTTCGTGATGCAATTGTCTATGTCCGGATCCGATCTTTTGCAAGGCTTGATATAGGACGCTGAAAAAGGCCCGAGAGAAAGAAAAATACAAAACACCGATCGCGCGCCCGAGGAGTTTACAATTAATCGCAATTGCGAAGTCCCTCCCCAATTGCGAAACGCCTCCTCGACTCCTCGACTTCCAGAATAAAAACCGCGACTTTGTCGCCTCTCAAGAGGAATCTTAACGACTGCACTCCGTGACGATCGTTTCTTACTATTCAGGAATAAAATCTGCGTCATCTCTAACGACGTCGAATCGCCGGTTCTTCTATTAATTTTCAAATAAATAAACATCCTGTACCAAAATTGCATATGCGCGAGTTTCGGACTTTATGGAAATTATTTAATCCGAGTCGCAAAATTAAATGCTAAGTATGTCTGGAAGTATTATAAATTCAGTTTAATTAATGAAACCTTCGATGTACGCGTTTCATGAATTTATTACGGTTTTCTTATTTTGTCGAGGAGGTGAGTAGCGGATTTATCTCTACGTTCACTTTTCCTGTCTCGATTACGTTTGCTTCCGTACTAATAATTTCATAATTCGGGATGGGTTAATCTCGCAGAATGGGACTCACGCAAGACGGCGTACACGCTCCCGGTGATCGCCACCATGAGGCTGGAAACAGAAAGACCAAGGTAAAAACTGGCAGAGAACCGCCATTTTTGCGGAATCGCCGATCAGCCTTGGGAGAACGTATAATTTTCCGCGAGCGTCATTAAAAGTCCGACCGCGATTAGGCCCGATAATGCTTTGTATAGAAAATCTATTCATTCCCAGCCGATGAACCGAGGGCGTCCATAATTTTCGACGAAAAGAGAGGAATCCGTGACATTTGCGAAAAATTGATAAAATCGTCCGGATCACTTTCAGCGGTACAACTTGAAACGTCGGGAGCGTCTTTAACGAAGGAATTTAAAAGAAGAAAATGCTTGTACGAATAATTTTTAACTGGGAAATGAATTTTTGTTGGAAAAATTAAAAATAGAGATAATGACATTTTCAGTGTCTACAGACTTGCTCCTCAAGGCGGCAAACTTCTCTCGTTCTCGGACAACTAGATCCCCTCTTCGGAAATACACGCGTCACGCGAGGCCATTACTTGAAAATCGTTTGCAAATAAGCAGGTGTGAAGACGGTTTTTCTCTTCTTTTTTCTTTTTTTATTGCATTGCTCGGCAAACACGCGTTTCCCGACTTTTCCGCCACTGGGACCTCCTTGCCCCGTTGAAAGCCTTACTAAATTGCACTTCGCTTTACCACCCAAAGAAAATTTCGAACGAATTTTACTGAATAGAGTATTAAAAAACACATCGAGTACCCCCGCGAATTTTGCATGCCGAGTAAAACTACCGATACAGGTCCCATGAATTTATCGCGATTTTTCCACCAGCGCGGAAAAATGATTTCTCAAATTTGCCGGATCTCTTTCGGATTTGAATTGCACTCTTCTCGCAGTGGCGGTACTTTTGATGCGATTTAGGTCCTGGTGATGCGAGTCGAGATGTCGGACCAGACTCCGAAGGGGAGTCATGGGATATCGGTGTTATCGGCGTTATCAAGGCAGAAGTGCGTACCACCCGCGAACCAGGAGAGCAGACATGTCCGGCCGTCGCGAAATCGGGCACTAGATTGAAATGACGATGACGATGACCCGGTGCTGGCGGGCTCCCTTGATTTCGTTTTTTCTCCATAGGATGTCCCGTAAGAGGGCTCCCCACCCCTGGGGGTCCACCTGGGGAACCATTGGGGGAACCATCGGGGGAACGACTCGTTTGACGGAGCCTGGCCTGAAATCGGTCCGGATCGTTGCGTTCGCTATTGCATTCGGTTGATTGCCTCGTGCCACTTGCCGGCCATTGGTCCACCTATACCGATTGCAGGGACAGGAGTTGGTTGCACATGCGTGCAATGCACCTGCAAATTCCGGAGAACGTGCGTGATCAAGTGTGTTCTGCCTTTCCACTTTTCCCGGTGGCGCTGGTTTGCTTATCCGATGGGTCTCCGTAGAGGGGGCACTTTCCGAAAAAACGGGGCCCTGGAAAATTCTGAAATGTTTAAAAATTCTTTAATGCATCCCGAGGAAACTGGGACGTAGCGGAAAAATTATCAGCGATTTTTATCCAGGGTTTTAGTGATGTTAAAAAAAAATGTGTGGATTTTAAAAATGATTCACAAGGCTCTTAGCCAGTATTCACGTGAAAAAGCAAATGCAAATCTCCGACGACGCTGTAAATCACCGTTCTCGGCAAGATGATTTTCTTTGAGCTTTTTAACCTCTCCTAACCCTTTCGCTTTTTTTGCGCCATTCTTATTTGCCTTTGCGTAGGAAATCGCAAAAAGCGACCGACGACGGCGTCGTCGGCTTGGGACGAAGTTATCGCATCTGTTAAGCGAGTAACTATCGATAGGGTCACTTTATAACGGCGGTAAAGAAAGTGAGTGAAGTAAAGGCTGTATATCCAGTCAACGAACTGGTTCAGGAAAAGGAATACGGATTATGTCGTAATACGCAGAGAGCAAGGTCCGCCGATGAAGTGTAGGTCAAGAAATTGTCCAGTCATAATGGGGAAAATATACCTTTTAAACAATACGCGATAAAAACATTCCGATAAAATGATAACGATAGCGAACACTAAAAAATGAATTTTTAACGCCTAATTTGCTTCACCTTCTCGCTCTTCTTCGTCTCCTAGGAAATTTATTCCAGATATTTATTTTACTCGGTGAACTTATTCCACGGCTTCGTTCGAAACGTAAATTACGTTAAAAAAATCGAAGGTCGATGAGGAAACGTAAAAATTCGCTCCATCAATTATGCACTCCTTCGTCCTGTGAATCTGAATAATAAGTTTCCCGATGAATAGTAATAAAGGAATTACCGGTTACTTGCTCGTAGCTAGTGCTCCTGTTTCTGCAGGAACGAGAATTCGGAAAAAAATAATCGGCTAGTTACAAGAGTAATGACGCCTCGACAGAATTACTGCCCGTTATCGTCTCGCTTCCTGCAACGTGCAATAAGGTCAGAAATTTCCATTTCCTGCACTTTGGAGTAATGACACGACGCCGATTAATGCCCCGCCATCTTGGAAAATTCGTGCCACCAGGGAACAAAATAATACGCATCGTTAATAATATTTGTAAATATACGATTCGTAAATGTACGAGGGGTTGCTTTTTGACAAACGCGATTTACATGATAGAAGACGCCATGTTGAATCATCTCGCGAAGATTCGCCTCGACCTTCGTTCTCCATTGTCTTCTCACGTCCGCCAGGTCCGAATTATCAATTAATTATGAAGCGTTCACACGTCGCAAAATCCGAGATGAACTTATCGGCGCGACAATACACAGAGGGAGGTGGAGGAAAAAATAAGATGGCGGCACTTCCGCGAATCGACGCACGGTGACGAGTAGTTCGCGACTATCTCGAGGAAGAAGAAAAAGACTCGCCGGAGGGGATTCATGTTACAGAACGACCCTGAACTTACGAATCAATCGGATTAATTCTAAGGTCGTCATCTAGACGGTGTCTATATAAGCCCGACGTCGTCGAGCGCGCTGCAGTGCTGCTGCATCCGGCTGCAGCGCATCCTCCGACGAAGTCCGCTTCTCTTCTTCGAGGTCTTCCTCGAGCCACGGCAGGTCGCTGGTTGGTTCTTTACGAACGCCCCGAGATGCTGTCCATTCCTGTGGCTTTGGTCCTCGCGACCACGGTGGTCTTCGCCGAAGTTCGTAAGTCTCGATCCCATCTCGGCCGCCATCTTGGTTCCTCTTTGTGGTGTCGCATCCTCGCCGAGGAAGCGTAACAAATTAAGAAAAGTAGAAAAGGTCACGCCGAAATTCCTACTCAATCTGAAATTTCTGTAAATTTGAAAATCCTCAACAAATCGAAACGGGTCCAAGTGCATCTTCCCAAGGAGAATTCATCCTCCCCGAGGCATTGATGTCTCCGACATGTGATAATGAAAATTATACCAATCTAAAGGTCGACCGAGACAAATAATCAATTGTCGAGTTTTTGCCAATGAATATTCATGATTCCAGTCGCGAAACACTTCCTATATGAATAATTAGTTATACCAGATCTTTCGGTCTCTCGTTGCTAGACGTTGCGCGTAAACGATGTCCTTCGACGAGTTTCTACGTAGTTGGGGCGTTTAAAAAAAATTCAAGGAGGGACTCTTCATGGTTTCAGCCTCGTATATCAAGGTCTGCGGTCGCCGGAATCCCAATCTGGACCAATGCGTGATCGACAGCGTGAACGCTCTTCGGGATAAACTTAAAGAAGGCATCCCAGAACTGGATGTGCCCTCGGCGGAGCCCCTCGTGGTCGATAAAGTCATCTTCTCGGACACGAACGAATTCAAGGCCGTCGCAGAGCCTGTTGAGCTCCGCGGTCTGACAAGCTTCAATCTGAAGACCGTCCATGTCGACCTGGAGAAGAAGCAAATCGACCTGACGGCGGATTTCGACTCCATTAAACTGGACGCCATCTACGACGTTCATGCCAAGATCCTCGTCAACTTCGTCGGAAAAGGACCCATCAAGATCAACGTCGGTATGGCTTTTTCCCTAGCCCTATCGAAAGAAAAAAAATTTTTATAATAACTTTATTGAAAATATTTTTCGGTCATGACGTATCAATTTTGTAACATTTTTTTAATTACGTGGCACGGTTTCAGAGGGTGTGGACATCAAGGTAACTCTCAACTACGAGCTGGTGGACCACAAAGGGAAGCAGTACGTCTACTTCCCCACCATGAGCCTGAAGTTGAACGTGAAGGACTTCAAGTCCGTCTTCACGCCTCCACCTGGTACCGACAAGACCTTGGCAGAGAGTATCAACACTGTCATGTCTACAAATCGACAGGAAGTGCTGAAGACCATCAATCCCAACCTGGAGAAGGCCATCTCCGAGCGGGTCCTCCAGGTGGCCAACATGATCTGCAAGAAGTTCACCTTCGACGAGCTCTTCCCCGACCGGGAGTAGAGCTGCGATCGATCGATCACCTATCGATGATCACTTCCGGCCTCTGGTTCCTGGTCTTCGGGATCCAGTCGAGATAGAATTGCCCCTGTGAGCTCGAGGTTGTCCTGAACGCTCTTCGAGGCATCTTCAAGATCCTGGAACCAACCGACCTGTCTGGTGCTCCCAGAAATTCGACCTTCGCACTTCCTCTACGTGCAAAATCAAAACCTTCTCCTTCTCCTAGAATGGCGCTTCGATTTTTGAGGGATCCGTTTTATGATCTTCGTCGAAACCAAACCTTGAATAGGAAATCATGAATAATAAGTGTATTCATTTTGTATAGCAATTAATAGGGAATTGTTGCACCGCTGGATCGCTGCAAGCGCAGTCCTAGTTACGTTGTTGGAAAATAAATACTCAGTTGTTATCAGACGTTTTTTACGATCCTCGTCGAGGGACCAATTTCATGATTCATTATCAAATTAATAATAAAAAAAACGATTATTGGACGAGGACCGGTGTAAAGACGTGGTATGACCGTTAGTTAAACAGTTAGATAAAAATAACTTCCACTCATGGCATAGATAAAGTAACGGACTTTTGATAAACGAAAAAACATAATATGAGTAAAAGGGAACATTCCACGAGATTTTTTAAGAAATCGGAATTCTTTATTTCCCAAGGGAAAATGATCAGCAGTCGAGAGGATGTATATAGAAAAAAGGATATACCTCGACTCGACGAGTCAAAATTAGTACTTCATCGACAATTCTATATATATCGTGATTAAAAACTAAAATTATAAATTATAAATTATCCACTAGAGAGGTCCCACCGGCATCTCGCTCGATCTCTTCTGCGAAAGTCGTTGACTACTTTTTGGTACATCTTGCTCTTCACCCTTGATTCGCCATTTTTCGGCGGCTTTGTCTCGATTATATTAACGAGAAACGAGACGCCGGAGGAACTCGAGCGTCGAGGACGCCGAGATCCAAGATGGCGGCGGTGGTGGAACCAACAGAAGAATTAATGCTCCGGGAAGAGCTGCTCGTAGGTGAAAGGGTTGACGATGCGGTTGCTGATCTCGACGAAAGCCTCGGAAAGGGCGTGTTCAATGAGTGGTTGAAGTTCCTTGATGAAGGAGTCGAAGTTACTATTGATGGCGCCGTTGACGACGTCGCCGAGGGCGCGCTCGCCGCCGAAGAGGTTTTCCAGCCTCAACGAGCCCTTCCCGATGGAGATCTTCATGCGGAATTCCTCAAAATGTAGGTGATCCAGGCCTTCTTTGTCCTTACGAAGTTCACCCTTGAGCTTGACGGCTCCTGTGGCGGCTGAGAAATTTCCATACAGGGGGCCGGAACCACGAATGGGGAGCAAAAGGACGCGTCCATCAATGGAGTATTGGCCGTCGATGTAGAGATGAGGAAGATCCACGTCCACGGCGAATCGCAGGTGGTCCAGGTCGATCCTAGAGAGAGAAAAAAATAAAAATAAAGGGATCGATAAAAAAGATTTAAAAAATTAGGGTGAGCATTTTTCGATAAAAGATGGGTTCTCGATCGCCTCGAAAAATTAAAACGCGGCTCTTCGAGTAAGGCCAACTATTGTTTTGATCCCCATCGCCATCGCAGATATCCTTCTTTCGTGAGCGACTCTACGTGTCATGGCCACACGCGCCGACGCTCAGCGTCGTCTTCGGCATACAAACGACAAGTTAGAGCCCACCGAAGTCACTCGACCATTAGGCCATTGTGAATTCATGGAAGGACATGCCCGGTGGTCGGAAATGGCTTTCGATTATCAATAATACCCCGCGGTTCTGGAGAACCTGGGGAACATTTTCTTTATTTTCTTCAGAGTCCTCCGACTTACTTCAGTCTCCTTACGATGAAGTCACTGGCCCCATAAGCGTGGACGTTTTTCGCGGTTATCCTGAGCCCGGACCCCTCGCTGGCAACGAGCTCGTTCAGCAAAAGAGGTTCCAAGGAGGGGATGTTGTACTCGGGCACCCCGGTTTTCAGGTACGGCCTCAGCTTCTCCACGCTTTCGGTTATGCAAGCCTCTATGTTAGGGTCGCTCCTCTTGCAGACGTGGATGAAGTCAGCTGGACACATAACGAGCCATTTTACGATCACAGGATTTACGTAATCACTGAGATAACCCATGACAGGAAGTTCGCGATTGGCTTTGTGCATGCCCGACTCGATCCGCAGGCGTCGCATTTAATGAGAATGACAGGGAATTAGGATGAATGACGATATTGGGTTAATCGATAGAAAGGATCCTCTTCAAGGTCCACTTCAAGGTTCGTCGCGGCTTTGAGTATTTCGAAGTCAATGGAAGACGTGCGTATGTTTGCTCGGATCGCGAGAATTGCATAATTTGCAAATTTTATGTATAAAAAAAAATGAATCTACCGTCTGGAGATTGTTAACGTACGAAAAACTAGTTTCGGACGACTGGACTGTTTGTACGGTCGATTGTCACTTGTCGTTTTGCTTAATGTACATTTTTTTAAATCCGATTTAATAGTACTACCCCTTGCGGACGTCAATGTCTCCAAATATTCGACTCACAAAACCGAGAGAATCGCCCCTTCCTGTGCAAGCATCGAAGTCCCCGAACACTTCACTCCTTGCATCGAGCTCTCCGAATAAAAATCTACGGAAGAATTGAAGATTCTCCCCAGGAGACCGGTACTGACAATTTCACCGATAAGAGTCATAGAAACTCTCGATCTACCCCGTGTACTAATGTCTTTACAAGGAACTTTACATTTCTTTCATTAAATAAGAAACTTACGGACGTCGATGGCGAGGGCGGCACTTACGACCACGAGGAGAAACGCGGAGGTCGAGAGAGACATCGTCGCGCCGAAAAGTCGAATTTGGACAATGTCAAAAGACTTCTTCGCAAAAGAGACTCCTGCGTCTCTCGGGATTTGACTCCTGGCAGGATTTCCTTCTGGCGAATAAATAGTTCCGGATGGTCCCGTTGCAAATGGATAAAATGATGGCCGCGTGAAGGCCTTATAGCGGTCCCCTCTCCTGGGTGTCCGGCGAAACCATTGTCGTCCAATGTGGACGTGAATGATCGAATGCGTGCACACGCTCGTGAGCCCACACACTCCACCACGTTGAATAGGCGAACACTCGACGAACTTGTGTCGCGAGTCTCCCTCCACCCGCAAATGGCGAACTTAAGTTCGGTTGACTTTGGCCTTCGCGAATGACTCTCGCGAGGCCCTCGAGTGACACGTCCGCCTGGAGCGGGATTTCAGGATTTGCGTCCAATTCCAAGAAAATCCGCGAGAGACGCCGCCAGAATTTCAGATAGACCGGGCCTTCCTGTTTTTCCACGCCAAAGCTCTTCGGCGTCGCAACTTCTTTGAGAAATCGGGCCAATGGCTGCGTATGACGTCGTAATTTTTACCCCTGAGTTGGTACCCACGCCGTGACTCCATTTTGATACCGGTCACGAATCGCCTACGAAAATACACAAAATGTGTACAAGAAATTTCTCTCTTCGTCAAGACACCCGACGCTTTCTTCTGATACGACCAGTCAAAAATATTGCTTCTTCTAAATTTTCAATTTTAATTTTTACACGATAAATAACACCTTTCATGGAATCTATAGAAATAATTTTTCAGCCGCGGAAAGACGAATTTGATATCATGGGGTTGGTCCCACGTTCTGCATGCCCTGAGAGAAAATAGTATTAGACGTCGCCTCGCGTCATTTTGGAATGGTTCATTTTTCCTTTCCAATAAAAGTCGAGAAAAATTTCTCCAGGACGACTTTGGCGCCGGCAGGTGACGAGGTCTTTTTTAAACGCCTAGGGATAATTGTGGCGCCATTTGCAGGAAATGAAACCACGGTTTTCCGAGCCCATTGGCATTATTGCCCGTGTGTCGTAATTGGTTGCATGCGCCTCGATTTCGTTCCACTAAGTAATTTGTCTTTATTCCTATGTTTAGGAAAATGTCAAATAATACCATACAATACCGCCGAGTTAATCCGTCGTCATCGTGTCAGCGAAAATGTCACTTACGGACAATCTCTCCTTTTTATTAGAATTCGTGCTAACCGTATTACTCACCTGGCTCAGTTTTCCAATATCTTCCGATTTTATTAATTACGTTAGCATGAGATTCTATTTTATCGCTCCAAATAAAAATGCCGACCGGAAGGAATTTCGGGAGATGTCGATGCGTGGGCGGCCGTCATGTTTCTTTCTCTTTTTCTTCCCGTACTTGAAAAATATTTGAATTGGGATCGATTGCTTACTTGAGCAATTAAAAAGGATTCCTTATATTGCATTCTATTTTTAAAAATCCGTCCTGTCAAGTTCCAATCGATTCGGGCCCCGATATCGATACCGAGTCGAATTATATCGAGCTGGATTTAGCGCGACCGCCTCAGGATGAAAATGAGGAAAAATCGCCAGGATTGACACACTCGTTCCAAAGTACAAACTGTAAGCTGTGAAATATCCTGCACATATATTCCGTTATAAAAAAAAAGCGAAAACGCGCCATTTTCCAGTAGAATGGTCATAAATGCGCAATTCGCTCATGATTATCGCACGCCTTGTGGAAAAGGTTTTTAGCGAAGCTTTACTATGACGATAACAATATTCTAAAAGAACCTAGGATAATAAAAATCGATTATTGCCATCGTAAAGGAACGCACAATGTTTCCAATCAGTGGATGTCCGTAGCGAGAATATCGAAGAGTGTGGCATGAGAGTTAAAAGCAGGCTCGTTACAACGACGCCTTGTAATAAAATAATCCACGTCAATCAGGGCAAATGACTGGCCACCACTAATTCGCAAATATTACGTTCTTGAGGAACTCGACTTTGGAATTTCAGAACCGATCGTTAACGTTTGCGTAACTGATGGCTTGTTTGGCGAAGCCGAGGCTCTCTTCGGCCGCCATCTTTCATTTGCGCCCTTTTCACAAATATTCAATTCTACCCCAATTACATACACTAGTTAAACTAAAATCACAAATTTAAACTAGCACGGCATGTTTATTTTTCTTCGTAGCCCATTTTGTCTAGTACTCTTCATTTTCCTCTCGAATTTTCTGGTCCCCACAATTTTTCCCTTTTCATCTTCTAACCTCCCGATATTTTCGGTAATCCTAGTGGAATTCCTTTCTCGCGTCTTTTTCTCCCCTTTGCTGGACACAAAAGGTGAAGGAAAGTTTCCAAGAACGAGTTAGCCGGTACCCTCTCACGTCATTTTTCGCGTTTTGCCGAACAACCCGTTCCTCTCGACCTTATCAGCCTCCAAGGTGGCTCGATTAACCTTTTCGAGAGGATTTTTCGCGTGTGCCATCGAACCAACGAGCTTCTCTAAATCACAGGAATTGCGCTTTCGTCCGTCTCCGAATGAACAATTCGCTGTGATTAATCAGATTATCGGGCTCCGAAGAACTCCGGATCATTGTCGGTCAAACGAGTCGTTCCGGCATTTGGCCATATGTCGTAATCCTTGCATAATATTCGCGTATTACGGACTAGTTACACAAATGAGAGTCCTGTCGGCAACACTGAATTAAAGTCAGAAATTGCCGGGTGGATTTCTCATTACGCCGACATTGCTCTAAGTGACTTCGCTATCATTCATCAGCGAACTTATTCTCATGAGAAATAAGTGCCGGCGAATTGCCCTGCCTTTAGAAATTTAATTTCGAGCAACGATGGACTGCTATATCAAAATTACATTTTTTTTTATTATTTATCGTTAGTATCTAGACGCCGATAAAATCGACCGAGTTACCCTCGCGATTTGATTTTTCGATTTGATTTTTCGTCATTTCACGAAATGACCTGCTGACGTGAAAATAGCACCTCGTAAAATTTGGTTGTGAATTAATTATCGCTAGAAAATTCAGTCTCAGAGGATAAATTAATCCGAATAATGATGAACGATAACAGTGAATTTCATGAAGGAGGAATTTTCACAAGCGTCCGAAATTCAGTATTTATCTACAGAGACATTTTTCAGTGACAACCCTTAAATATCGTATAAAATAATTAAATAATACAAGGTAGGCTTAATTAACGAAATTGTAATTCTAAGATGGCGTCCATTTCCTCTCGGAGAACCGAAGATTTTTATCCAAGCTTTGACTCTTTTGAGATTTATGCACACCTTTGATCATCGTTTTTTACAACTCTTCAGGCCCGCAAACAAAATGGCCGACATTCGACCTTCCTTTCTAAATCGAGCGACGAAATCGTTTTACTTCCTTCCTTAGAACGATTTTTCTTCCTCAAACTGTCCGCTCACTTCCTCGAGTGTCCGGGAATTTTCATTTTTTTTCTCCAATGAAAGATCCAAGGAATTAATCTCTAATTCTTTATCATGGGTCGGAGATCCAGGCGTCGTATGGGATTTGGGCGAAAATCTTCTCCACGAACGCCGTCATCACCTGGACGAGTTTCCTCCTCAGGTCTGGTTTCATTTCCTTCAGCAACTCTTGACTATTGCTGTTGATGAAGAGATTCAACGCGGCCTCTGAAAATCGAGTATTGAATTATTTGTAACAAATAGATGCGAATCACCAGGAAAGTGTACCATCGCCATCTTGGAGAACTCCAAAGTATACGAGAAATAGGATGCACGTTAAAGGAAATAATTCACGGAAATATAAATATCTCTGAAGTGACATTTTCTACGAATTCGACATCAAGGATTATTCCATAATTCCCCCAAGGATAATGGGTTGAAAAAGTATCTATCCGGAAGTGTCCTTACGTAGAATAGTATTCCCATCGTGGACATTTTCGACGCCCATTCGGATGTTCTGCACACTGAAGTCCATTTTGAGTTGCTGCAACCTCAAGTATGGCCGACCTTGTACCAAAAACGGCTTGGCCCTGATGAAGACCTTGGCCTTGACTCCCTCTACAAATGGACATTTAATGACAATTTACATGCAGGCAAAATAATGCCATGACATGGTCAGTGAACTCCTCCGAGCCCGGAGAAACGAGGGAAGTTGACTGAAATTATTCACAGAATTATTAAGAGAGTAAATCTTGACCTCTCGAAAAATTACAATTTAACGTGAAAATTGTTCCTCGAAAAATGACCCCCTCCCTAACGAATTTTAATTGCAGGGAGAAAATTACCCGAAGAACGCCTGAAAGTAGACTTCGCGTTTGCCTCAACGACGAGGAAGTAAAACATCTAGTCTGCTCAACGGTGCTTCCAGAGAAAACCGTACGTGCTTCGTCAACGAAAGTGTCGTTAAATTTCAATTTGCATCCACCTAGGTGAAAGTTGTATCCTGGGTGAACCCGGAAGAGAACAGCCTTTTGTTTGACCACCTCATTAAATTTTTTTTTCTGAAGCAAACGCGATAAAAGAAATTTATTTTTTAATAAATTATTCCAGGCAAACCATCCACCGTAGGAAAAAAATCGTACAGGACTTTTCGACTTCATTTTGACCCAGAATAGCATGGAAAAATCCATAGTGAAAAATTCTGGAGCACACAGGGGACAGACTGGTCGAAAGTTGGAGATACTGACCATACTCTCCCCAGTAATCGCCATGACCACTGGCCTGGACCAGGATGAGTCTTCCACTGGACTGGTACCTGGCGGCAGCCCTGATCTTCGGGATGCTGAGAGCCAATTGGAGTTGGACCTCGTCGTCCGCGATCCTCGTTCTGAGGCCGGTTATCCGGAGAGCGGAAACTCCCCTGGCGGCGACGTTCTTGAAGAGCGCCCTGTAGCCATCGGGCCCTTCCCCGAGGGCGATGTGCACGTCATCGATGATTATCGGCTCCACCTCCGAAAATCCCAGCTGGGGCAGTCCTGAAAGTGGTTCGAGGTCGCGCTATAACTACCAGAACTAGACTCGCCGGAAATGGTCTTCGAGGTGGAAGCCTCGAATCTAGGACACTGGGTGACCATTCGAGCAGACCGTTATAACCTGGTTTTTCGCACTCTAACACCGTTTCCCGATGGAAGGTGCCACGAGGTGCCCAAGAGTTCGTTCACCGCGGGAATTCCACTACCTCCCATTTTCGGAGCTGGAGAAATAACGGGGACCTCCGCCACCTCGTAAAAATCCCCATACGAACCTGGACAAGGATCTAAAAAACTCAACACCTCCTCCTCCTCTCCTTGAATTTAAATAATTCCACGCAATTTTCCCTGAAGCTCGGATGCGAATAATTACCCTCGATACCCTTCTTCCCTTTTGTTCATTTATCCCAGGTCTCAGAAACCCAGAAACGGCTCTTCAAGGTGCAGGGGCCTTACCATGGCGGAAGTGCTCCGTCAGGACGTTGGCCGACCTCGCCAGGCAGGCCTCCAGGTTAGGATCCAACCTGGAGCAGGGCTCGATGAACTCCAGACCTCGATATTTGCCCAGGGCTTGGACCTCGAAGAGCGACGACGCGCACAGCAGGACCAACAGGGCGCTCTTCTTCGTCTCCATGATGGAGGACTTGGTCCGACCTTCGCGATGGTTGCGCCTCCACCGATCGAACTCGCTCCCGCGCGGGAATGACCGGTTCCCGGTGATCCCTCTGGACTTATACGCCACCTTGACATTGCCTCCCGTTAGGCCTTGCCGGAGTGGGGCCCATCCGAAGAACTTTCTTCGAGAGAGAGACCAGGAGCGATAGTCGTGCCGTGACGCTCCAAGTGTAGTCCCGAGGTGAAAATCATTCGTCGATGACTTTACCCGTCTTCGAGTTATCGAGGGATTTCGGACCGACATTTTCGACACGACCAGCTTCCGATGACTTTATCCGACCTCGACCTCTTGGGTGCTTTTTATCTACTATTATTAATGACTGCGGAGCGTGATGATCGCATTCTCTTAATCGACATTGATCTTCGCCTTGTTTATGTAGAAACGCTTCACGCATCTCTACCCGTCTTCTCCATGTCGAGATCCGAGGATTTCACCCGATATCGACTCTCGTGATCTTGATCTTGACCACTTGGAAAACTCGTCCCAACCTCTCCGGGGTCGACGAACGGTCTTCAGGAATTGGGTAATCCTCCAAACCACTTTTAAGTCCCGTTTCTGGATGGCTTGGAAAATCGAAAATCAGGGACCCTTCGTTGAAAATTTACATCCGGTCGATCTTGGGTCTCGATCTTCTGAGGAGAAGAACCCGAGGTCGAGGACCTCCAACCTCGTTGAGATCTCAAGGCTACCGACTTCTTCCTTCTTCTTACCCTTGCAACAAAAATCCATCCCGGCTTGGAACTCGCCCTCGATTAACAAAGACCGGTACGCAATAAAAACGAATGTACGCAGTAATTTTATTACTTATAAAAAAGACATTCAACTAATCTGAGAAAAATCCAGACGTCATTAAACGTTAACGTCGATTAAAAACAATAATTGAACACGGGTCTACTCTCGTGGCGTGACGAGGATTATTGATAAATTATTTACAATGCCAGGCGAAACTCTTGTTTCCCTTCGATATTTCCTTCAGGATTCTTCCTGAGATCGTTGATGCGAGTTCTGTCCACTGTACAGGATCGGTGCGCAAATTGGAATTATTTACACTAGCGGAATTTTTCCAAACTGATTACGAGAGGTAAACTAATTACGCGCAGCTTTGAGTATGGATATTAATATGGATCGGAAATTAAATAAACATTTTTCGTTTTCAGGCTGACGTCGAGTTGGAGACGCGTCGTGGCTTGATGATTTCCTCGAAGGGGAATTTTTCAAAGGCTTTGCCGAAAATTTCCGTAAAAGCCGTTGATACCAGCTCGTTGATAAGAGGTCTGGTCACCATAAAACCCGGTTGCCAGGCTCCGTTGATGATCCTGTCCAGGATACGCTCCAGGAACTCCCGACCGTGCAGCAAATTCGAAATATGAAGAGACAAATCCCTCATCGAGTGTACGTCGACTTGCACCTTCACCTTCGAGTTCGGCCTCTTGGTTATGGTCGTCGTCTGCTCCAGGTCGTCTAGGTAAAAAATCGACTTTATTCAAAATAATCGCAAATCTCCTACAATTCAAACATACCAAATGTATATTAATATTTTACGAATTTCATGTGACGACTTATGATATGCAGGGTCCGGAAAAAAAATTAATTTGTGATTAATATCTGTCGAAGACTTACAAAGGATTAAGGTGAATTTCCCTCTATTATTCATATTCGTGCCCAAAGCTGTCCCCATGAACTCGTATTGGCCGGCGAGGGATTTTTCAGGGAAACTCTGAGTATATCGCACCTGCAAATACAAATTTATTATCAATACCAGAATATAAATTAATTCGCCTTTTTAATTCTGGCAGTGATGACGATAATGAGCTGTCCCTTCGATGAGATGTGTCGCGCCTTGGAGAAAGGAAATTCTCGACATCGCCTTATCAATATTTTCTTATCCTGGTAATGGGATTTTTACTTACCGTGTAATTTGGCAGGTCACTGATAAACCGAGTAACCTTGCTGGACGACCATCCACTCTCGGTGACATTTCTAAGCGTCAGGACGAATCCTACTCCTAAAAGTCCACGTCTAACCGAAATCTCTTTGGCGAAAAAGGGATCGAACGGTGCGACTCCATATTTCGGCAATCCAGTCTTGAAATAAGGACGAATGCTGTTCAGACCTTCGCGAACGCAAGCATCGAAGCCGGACACGTCGGGATGGCAATTCTTGAAATGGTCCTCTAAAAAATATCAATTTAAATATTAATACGAATAGAAAATAGATACCCGTGCCCTGATACTAAAAATAATTATCTTCTTAATTTTTACAATCTGTTGGAAAAATTTTACCATGAGCGAAAATCAAGATCTGTCACCAAAGAAATAAGGACCGCATGTCTTGTTTACCCATACGATGTAAAAACAGAAATGAAAGTACAAATACGAATCATAACGATACGCCACCAAGAGAATTAATCTCGCTTCAAGGAAAGTCCTTAAGAGGATCCAGGAAGATTTCGATTCTTTGGCTGTTTTTCTGGGCATTGGAAAAAAATCGAGGATTTATCTAGACATCCTTCGATGTGGCTCGAAGACTTTCCTTCATCTCGACAAGCCGTTCCCTCGAGACGGGAGCGAGATATTCGGCTGCGTCGGTGAAAGTGTTACTCGCGGTTTCTTCTTCGAATAAATGCGTTCTCTCGCCAACCAGAGTTTAACGAGTTTAACGAGCGGGTGTAAACGCGGATTTCATCTCGCGATTTGCTCATCGCTAGGAAGATGAGATTCTCGAAGAGGCGTCTATCGGAGAAGAGGACGTCATGTTTAGGATCCTCTCTCTCGACCGCCAATTTCGAAAGAGAAATTAAACGAATCGATCCCACCAAGAAATGTCGACAGACATTTACGGAATTCGAGTATTACTAAACGAGAAAGTCAGTGTTGCGTTTAACAAAATTCTTTTCAGAAAATCTATATCTCTATCGTTCAATATGAATTCATAATAGCGCGGTGTTATTTTTTGTCTGTAAAATTTTTTTTGCATTTTTTGGCGGTAGCTTCGAGGACGCCGTCCGCCATTTTGGAGAACGCTGACGCCGTTCTTCCCCAAAAGGACAATTCAATCGAATTGAACCCGTTTCTCGGAATTTAGAACGCGTATACACTTAAAGGAGATCCTTATTTACTCGTGTACTCGTTTACTCGATTACTCGACATTCCAAAAGGTGTTTGTCCAGGTGGAACCGGGTCGAAAGACGTCTGTGTACTTTCGCGATGAATAAGCGTGTAATTTGCTTCCCTCAAGGGTTATTATTAATGACGTAAACCGGAGCCGATAACGACGATCGCCACCTGAGAATTTCTCGATTATCGAGGAGAAGGTCGGAAATAGGAGGCCACGAAAATTGGAGGAAAATAGATAAGCTCGGTGACCCAATTCGGCGACAGGGATCCGGAAATGAAGTTAATTCTTCACTTTGAGCTAACAACGTGCACGGAAAATGGAGATTTCTCCGTTATTTAAGAACCATTGTTCTTGACACGATTTCTGTAGCACTAAAACGTTTTTTACGACCGATCGCCGTCCAACCGACGAGGGAAAGGGACCGTGGAAAAAGGAGCCTTGCAACCACGTGCAAAGAGTATCAACAAATATTGCCAAATCCGTTCGCAACTTTTCCCTAAGCAACGTGATTTTTTTACCCACCGAACCGTATAATCAAAAAAAAATAATTGTCAAGCACGTCGGAAGCCTCGCCTCAAGAAATCAATTTTTCTGGACAACTCTCCTATTCTCACACTAATTATCCATACTGCGAAAAATCACGTATTAGTCACTACTTTTTTCCTTCACCCTCCAAAAAAGCACCCTCTGTCGGAGGCCTGGGTGTACTTGCCGAATTCCGCGAGCGCCGACGCCGCGAAGAGGAGGACGAAAACGGCGACTTTGGCTCGATTTATGCCGGCGAAAATCGCCATGACACTTCGGAAGGTTCTTCGTGGAACCTCCGACGGCTCCAGAAGACGCGCGAAGGAACTGGAAGAAACGATAATAACGAAACGAGTGGAACTATTCAGGAGGGTCGCGGACTCGTGTGCCGTTCGCGCGCTTTCACTCTCGGCAATGCATCCGAGAGTCGAGCGGCGGCTCCGTTTATTCCTTGATATTCGGTGACGTAAGACAATTTCGTGAAAATCCTCGCCGGGAGTTTCGGCCTCTCCCCCTATTTTTGCCTATTTCGAAACCGATCTCCTCTTCCGCCTGGCGCCACGGAATATCCCCCGAGATTCCCCTTCGAACTTCCACTTCGAGGTGGGGCCTGATCGCCGATTCGCTCTTTTATCCCGAACCCGATTTGTTCCTTTTCCGTATACCCCAGGGCGAGATCCGGCAAGGAGGTACAAAGGTCCTCCCTCCATTTTTCCCACGGTAGACCTTCGTCGGATCTTTATAGAGGATCCTCGCGAGAAGGACTTTGCTCTCGGTCTTAACGTTTTCCTTGTTCGGAAGAAATGGTTTATACAGAATTTTTATGGGAGGTCCTTACGAGGACTTTCTCTTGGACTTGACTTTTCCATAGCGAAGAGATGTTCTTTAATGGGAGATTTTTTGCCGCGGACCCTAGACCTGGATTTTTCACGGTTATAATAAAATTCTAAAATTAATTAATTGACGTAGTTTAATAATATTCATAAAAATTATTAAATATCTCTCGGAGTGTTCTAGGCAATATTCGGATCTACGGATTTTTTTTAGCATTTATCACAGTCAAGATGACCGATGTCTTTTTTTTTATTCCCCGATTTTTCGATTTACTCATTTTTCTGTTTTTAAGCCCGAGGGTCCAGGAAGTCTTACGCGAGCCGGTTATTCCACCTTCGATCTCTCATTCGGCGATTTCCATAAACGTGCCTCTTCATTGGCCTCCTCTATTCGTCATGGCTGACGTTAGATAAGACGACCTAATATTCCCTCGCGAATAAATAAAATGACTAACCTCGGTTTTGGAAATTTCCCGATAATTTATAATTACTTTGAGTCGTCCGAAATTACTTTTCCCGGTCACTGCACTTTCCGGAGTGCGGCCGCAAATTCCTTCGGGAATAAATAAAATGACCCTCCTCGGCTTTGAAAATTTCCCGGTAACTTCTAATTACTTGATTCATCCGGGCTAATTACTTGAGTCGTCTGGGATTAGTTCTTCTGACTTGGCTCGCTACAACGGAGAGTGCAAGTGCATCGGCTCGAATGTGTGCAATGTCGGCACTTCGGTACACTGTCTCCTCGGCAGGGGCCCGGGTCTTTTCCTCGCAGGTGAAAGTGTCCGGTGCAACTGCATCTGCCCCTTGATTTTTCTGCAGGTCCCCCGCGAGCTCGGATCCTCGAGGTGCAGTGGTGCATTCGACAGCTCGTGTTCACGTTTCGGAAGACTCGGCCATCCTATTTCCGGGATTTTCCAGTTTTCAGGACATTTTCCCCGATCCAAACCCTCGAAAAGTTTATCGAGTCGAGATGCTGCTCGCCGAACTCTCTTCCGGCTTTCTTCTCCTCTTCTGCGCTGCATTTACTCGTGCCGAGTCCACTCGTGAGTAATCCTTTAACTGCAGGTGATGCAGGTACAATGCGATGCGATATGATAACACTTATCGAAAAATGGTGCGATGGTGATAACACGTGAAACATGATTTTTCCTTGCAGCTCCATATGTGAAACAGTGCTCCAAACGCGACCCAGAGCTGAAGAAGTGCATCTTAAATGCCCTCCACCACCTGCGACCTTACCTGAAGGATGGAATTCCGGAAATCGAGTTACCCCCTGTCGAGCCATTTCGAGTGAGTTTCGTCCTTTCGTTTAAAAAATTCGGTCCGCTCGTCCAAAAAAAATTTGTCGAAATTACCCCTGCATTTTAAACGGTGCATCGATTATTTGCACAGATGGGCGAGCTCACTCTAACGTTGACGGGAGGCACGAATGGCTACAAAATTCAACTTCAAGAGCTCTTTGTCAGAGGTGCCAGCAATTACACGGTGGAGGACATCAAACTGGGATCACCCTTCGAGGCCATCGTCCGAATGCCCCGCCTCGACCTGGAAGCACATTACTCTAGGTAATTATTATGCCGAGTATCCTTAAAATAATTTTTATACTTTATTTTCAGTAGCGATAGGTCTGTCCCAAAACATTTGAGCGGTTTTGTATGTATTACAAGACGCGTTTATATACCAAGAAAAGACTCGCAGGTGGATGTGGTATGAAGAGTGGAATTACTACTTTCCACTCAACGATGTGGACCGATCCTTCCTAGGAATCAAAAACCGTAGAGTCAACGACCACTTTACGCGTATTTCTTAATGTGTATAATAATCGATAATTAGCCGGTGTTTTGAAGGACAAAATTCGCGTTAAAAAAAATGCGGCTCGATCGAGCGCGACTCCGACTTTGCAATTAATGATGCCTCACGGTATTAGTCATTTTGTGGCATTCTTCAGGTTGTATTTTTTGATACATTTACCTTTTTTTTTCTCGTGCAATTTCCAGCTCCGGGGTTCTGATAATTCTGCCTGCGAGTGGGAATGGCACTTTCCAAGCTCGCTTTGGGGACGCCAAAGTTTTGGTCCAAGGATCCATTTCGACGAGCTCGAGGAACGGAAAAACGTATCTTCACGTTGAAGAACTCGACGTCGAGCTGAGTGTCAAGGACGTTAACATGCGCGTCCACAAGATCTTCAGGAACAACCGAATCCTCAGTAGGTCGATCTCCAAGAAGAGAGAATTTATTTTAATATTTCCTGATTTCTTTTGTAAATTCTGGGTGGATGAAATTAAGTTCTAACGAGTGAATTTCCAGCGGAGGCTATTAACCTCTTCCTGCGGGAACACGGACAAGAAGTCCTGAAGGCGATGCAACCGCAATTGAAGAAAAAGCTCTCGGCGCTCTTCACCAGCATCGTCAATCAGCTTCTTCTTCACGTCCCCGTGGAAATGATCCTCTTGCCTTGAAGAAAACTTCCTTCTATCAAAAATCGGGTTTAAGAGTAGATAGTTCCTCGACTGCGTCCTAAAATTCGGATTTTAATGCGCCCCTGGCAAGACGGTCTCGGAAGAAAATCAAAAATGGCGACGCACTCTTCGTTTCAGTGGTGCACCCTCTGTAGATTTACCCTAAGGTTAGGTAGAGCCTCGTTACGAGTATTAAATGTTAGTTGGAAGTTTAGAAAATTATTTCACCCCAGAGAATGGAACCTTCTTGCAGTTTGCTAGCACTAAACGTCAGTCGAAAACATGAAAGACGATTTCATGCCAAATGTGGAATTTTCCACGGTATATCAAATTTTCGGTGACTCATTTTACGGAATCATTAACTGACTTCGAGCTCCCGAGTGCCTTTACTAAATGGCCCGAAATGGAACGAATCTCCTTTGAAATCTGGCGAACACGTTTCGTGCACTTCGCAATCCCGACGTTTTTTTTTTTTCGGTCCGGCCGAACAAGATTACATAATCTAGAGAGTGTAATGTAATGTAGAGAGTGGAGCAGCAGTTAGTCCCTTCTTTTCGACGCATTCTATTCCTGCTCCCGCGTAACTGTGCCGGTATTTTTCCGGTGGAGCTGGAAATTGAGGTCTACGAAAACCTCGGCCGTAAAAAAAAAATGGTAGGCGAACAAATTCTTGTTAAAAAAATTATTCAAGTATTTTTATTCCTCTCGGTGGGACCGGAATTGCTCTTTGTAATTCGCGATTCCGCGGACTTCCGGTCCCGAATTTCCCTACCGACCGGAAACTGGCCACAAGCATTCGCCAGGAAATCTCGGATCGAAGTCAAAGCTCGACGTTAATGACATTTTGCACGGCACTGCAAAAATAATTCTGCGACGAGCTTCCCTCTTCTTCGCCCTCTTCAGGAACGCGTCGAGATTTTTTCCGCGATTTTCCGCACTTCTCGCGACGATTTCTCCGATTCTTTTTTTTCTTCTCGCTCGTCGCGTCTTCAGGTATCTCTTGCGCATCTTCTACCGGGCCTCAGGGGAAGGTCTTCGAGAACGAGATTTTCGAGAAGACCTTGTTCGCCAAATTCGTCAGGAACTCGTCCCAGGATTTAGAGACCGTCGGCAGCATTCCGTGGTACAACAATGGCCAGTACTCGTTGACAAACGTCATTGCAGCTTTGTCTACAAAAAAGAAAGATTTTATTTTCCGATATCTCTTCCAGACCACTGCTAAAAAATTCTGTGCAGTCAGGGTGCATTATTTAAAATTGTGTGAACGGTAGGGTACATAAAAAAGACCCTGCAGATTCACTTACTGAGTTCTTGGTTTCCATTGAAGAGGTCGGTGAAGAAGATATTCATTTTCCTGACCTCCGGGAGCAAGGTAAAATGTTCCACGATCCACCTGTCGTTCTCAACCCTTCCGTCAAGGTCCCAAGTGGCTCTCACACCTTCCATACTGATGTTGAAGTAACCTGCGAGACGGATTAATTTGAATAAAAATTTCTCAATGACAAATGACAAAAAGTAAAACAATAGCGTTGTCTGCACCTCACCTTTTCCCCCCATTACGAAGGTCCCCAAAGCGCCGGTGGCTTTGTAGTCTCCCTCGATAAACGATTTGGGAATTTCCATGTCAATTTCCAGCCTGAAGCGTCCCTCTTCATGGTGTGGCCTGACAGAAAGGAATCGGATTTTGGACAAACCATAGGTCTTGACGTCCCTGACGGTCACTTTCCCTCTGACTTCCCCATTTTCGTAGACCGACTCCTGAAAATCGATGTCGTAGGGGTCCAGCCTGGGCAGGTCGAACTCCGGAATACCTGAGGAAAGAAACGAACATAAAATAAAATTAAACGGTAAAATCCCTCTAGATTCGAAGATCCACTCACCATTGCTGAAGGTCGGCCAGGATTCCTGCAGAGCTAACCTGAGGCAGGAGGAATAATCCTCGGAGTCCTTCTTGCAGGTTTTGACGGAGCTGGCTGCACAGATCGAGAAATTGAATTATTACCACTGATTGGAAGAGAACGTCGGTCACTTTTTCGAGAGCTTGCAGGAATTGACGTACGTAGAGCGACTTCTTCGGCGAGGACGAGGTGCGTCGCCAGGACGACGCAGAAAATCGCGCAGATCGAAGGAGTCATCTCGCCGGGTAAAAATCCTGTAAGCGGCGACCAATTAAGCCTTCGCTTTATATACCCTGGCCGAGCCAAGGACTGCTCGAAGCTGCGTTGCAAAATTGCATGTCATTAGAGCGCAACACGTGAGAGGCGAGCCGTGCGCCGATAGGGTGGGCAGACCAAATGCGACGCCGAGGAGGGGCGTCGCACCGATGCACTTTGAGATGCACTTTGAGATGCACCTCAAAACACGCAACGTACTCCCCGCCACGCCATCCACGACAACAAATCCATATTTCCGGGCCAAACTAACGACTGGACTCAACATCGGGGCCGTTAAGACAAAAAAGATCGTTCAACTCGGCATCGAAGTCTCCGAAGAGATCCAAGATGGCGGACCGCGTCGGCCGCGATCGAGCTGGATTTCCGTGACCTTGTAACCCGATATGCCGTTGTCGGCTACACGTACAATGCCGTATGTCACCGGGCACGTGCAAGTGGCAAGAAGATGGAGACTTCCCCGCACTCGAACGCGACATACCTCTTTATGTAATGAGGATTGCATTAAGCACCCGATGTGGACGCCCTTGAGTCTCCTCGCCACGCTGAAAACAAGTTTCCGCGGTACGAGGCGACGCTGCGTGACGGAAAAGTCGAACGTCCCTCGTCGATGGTGCCATTCCGCACTTATCGTTTACTTGTGATAAGGCACAAGAGAAATCGGGACTAAGGCGTAGGAAAAACGCACTTTGCGTCGGGCTACTCGACGTGGAAACTATGTAGGTCTCCTCAAGAAGGAACGGTCCACCTCCTCCATTCGGTGAATGGCGATTGTCAATCGCCGATCGTTTCCTCGCTTGGCTCTTTACCGGATTACTTGCGATACCGTGTCAGAGTAATGACCGCATAAACGCGTTTACGTGGGTGGCTCGAATCGGCTCACGAGAGCAAACCATAAACCGAAGTCAACGACGCAAAAGGCGAGAATTCTCCGTCTCTTCAAGGTCTTCTTCAAGGTGCGCGAAAAATTATGAAAGGTTTAACACCGACGTAACGTCTTCCCCCATATTCTTTAAATTTACTTTTGCAAGCATTTATTGACGTTGCTACAATGAAATGTCGAGTCTTAAACGGGTACATGCAGAATCTATTGTACGTGACGAATTGTGCGTGTCTTCCAGGATGACTGCAAATCGCGCGATTACGATCATCCGAGTCTGTCTGTGGCCGGGAACAAAAGTAACCGCATACCTTGGGCAGGTTTATTGCCGATGCAAATCATTAAACACCTATAAAGGTCCATTACCTTGCATGCCATGGTACTCATATTTATCTGCAGCGCGTTTTTCAGTAATGGATGGATACGGGTGATAACGCATGCGGGGTTTAATGTCACCGATACGCGGATGTATGTCCGCTGCAAGTTTGGTTTGCTCTTCAAAAAGGAGTCTTCATGAAGTCGTGCCTTATGCAATGCCCTCCAAATGACTCGCTCTGTCACGCAACTGCAAATAACTTGTATTTTACCTTTTCGTGGCATCTACAAATTACCTATCACTGCTAATTTACCGTTTTTGCTTGTTTGCGTCCATAAACCTGGAATTTAGACAACTTTAGAGTCTAAAGGAAAGGAAGATAGAAATTAGATTCAGTCGAACGGGATTTGTAAAACCAAGTGCAAAGTCGCCTTGATGATGCATCTGCTGGCAATCGATTTGGATGGTTGACAGAATTTTTTTCAGGAGGCGAATCAAGGTATCTAAAGTGGTAATGTAGAGATTAATGCAATTGTTTAAACGTGGATTTCTAAGCTAGCGCCTTCAAAGTCTGCAGACAAATCGAGAAAATGGCGACCATCTTGCTTTGCAATGTTTTGAGATCAAGGCGACTATCGCCTGGTAGATGCGACAGTAAAAAATAATTATGCTGCTCTCCCGTTCCGAGAACGAGAAATGTCAAGGCTCAGATCATGATCTAACTATTATCGTGAGGATTATATGCGATTATTTCTACTTTTAAACGATATGTTACATAATAAACTGTAAAACAATTAGTGAAATAAAGCAAGTTATTGAATAATAACAATGGAAATGTTTAATTAGACGAACATGTCTAGCAAACCCTCTAATCACATATTCCTGATCCTTGAAAATCACCCAGGAGGAACTCCGTGCCACCTCCTCGGTTGTCCTATGATCCTGTTAGAAGTCGGAAATTTCAATCCCGACAATTTTTGCCCGGGAGATTTCCGTGCCACCTCCTCGGTTATTCTATGTTCCTGTTACAAATCGAAAATTTCGGTCTCGGAAATTTTTGCCCGGGAGAATTCCATGCCACCTCCTCGGTTATTCTATGTTCCTGTTACAAATCGAAAATTTCGGTCTCTGAAATTTTTGCCCGGGAGAATTCCATGCCACCTCCTCGGTTATTCTATGTTCCTGTTACAAATCGAAAATTTCGGTCTCTGAAACTTTTGCCCGGGAGAATTCCGTGCCACCTCCTCGGTTATTCTATGTTCCTGTTAGAAATCTCCAGAGGTGGAACAGGATCATAGGACATCCAAGAAGGTGGCACGGATGATTCCCGGGCAAAAATTTCAGATGCCGAATTTTTCGATTTGTAACAGGAACATAGAATAACCAAGGAGGTGGCACGGAATTCTCCCGGATGATTTTCAAGGATCAGGAATAGGCGATTAGAGGGTTCGCTAGACGTGCTCGTTTAATTAAACATACTCATTGTTATTATTCAATAATTTCCTTTATTACACTAATTATTTTACAGTCTATTATACAAGTAGCGCAAGTACATAAGTTCTCGAACTCGTTTAAAAGAATATTTAACCAGGTGTCCAGTCTTGTCATCCCGCTTCTTCCCTCGTTCCTTCATCTTGGCATCTCGAAGAATATCCGGCCATCTCCTGGGAGCTCGATGTAAAATCCAAGGCAAGGATTCCCTCTGCTACTATCTGGAAATTCATTGAAATCATCACTGAAGGCGAAGACTGAATTTATTTCTCCTAAGCGCCGAGTTAGGGGCAAGTGCGTTACCCACCTGTATTCTGTACCAAGGGCAGTACAGAACGCGACCCTGATATATCAAATATTCATAAATTCAGGTACATACACCTTTGGTTCGTTATTTATATATCATACAAATATATATATTACATTTGTGTATATAACAGAGAACATAATTCTTAAACTTTGTATTCTCTTAATGTTACCAATTGCAAGACGAAGTTATATCAAAATACGGATTGTTTTTAAAATGAATAATTCCCTACTCACGATATTCATTTTAATCGCGTATGGCCAGGACTAACATTTAAATATCTTGTCGCATCTATGCCGGGTCGTACTTCGGATTTTCCTTTATCGTTAAATTAAATTCCTAGACCAAGACACGGATTACTCATGGTTTCGTTCTTGTGTTCTTTCTTATTACACCGACGATGAGCGTATGTCGACATGCTCTATTTTGTTACACATCACATTCATAATAAAATGTCATATTTATCGGCAATGTGCAAGATATCACTGTGAATAGTATGGAAATTTCGGAGCTCCGCGAGATACTTTAATTTCCGACATCTTTCTGTCATTGTAAAGCAATAACGTGCGTTTCGCAAAGACATTTGAACATTCGAACAAAACCTCACTTCGACGAGGCAGTTTGTATCATTAGACACGGCCACTGGTAGACGTGTATTGTAAACGTTATCCAGTATTTAAAGAGATTCACGAAGATAACTGCGAGTGCTTCATTACATCGTAGTGGTCCAACGCATGTTGCGCCGACTCCTTCAGATTTTGGTCGAGTTTGAAGACAAATGAATATCATATTTTGAAAACACCAAACCGGGCGCAGCCCATCCTAGGTGTGTTCGCAATTGTTACTAATAAATATCGCATTTACATAATTAAATATTTCTTGTATAACGCTATTAAAAAAACTAACGCCCTTACGATTCATCTAAACACTTTGTACAGAGTTCGAGTTGCGCGATGTGATTCCCTGGTACAGGTTTCGATGCAAACACTTCACCAAAACGATTCACTCGTTGCGGTCTTCAGAAATAGTCTTGGTCTTGTCCAGGAAAGCCGTGTTGGAGTTCCCACCGATGACAGTGGTTGTCGTCGTCTCGCTCACAGTGGATTCCCTCTTTCGATATGGATTCAATGGTTGATTGTACAGCCTGCAAATTGTGTCGCTTGTATCGGTTTTCCAAACCCGAGTAACCTCCAAAAGAGGTTGGGTTATAGGATCTTGGGTTACCACTTTGGAAGATCAAACATTAACATTACTTGGATGGTACATGACATGGTGTAGAATGTAGACATATGTGCATTTAGAAATTACCGCACATCGGTGTACGCATAATTTGTGCTACAAGTGTTTCGATCGGACATGTCTACGATGGGTTTTCATACAACGTACAAAATACACATACATTGGTTGAACAATTGGGAAAGGCAATTCTGCCCGCGACACGCTGATTAGCAAGGGACACGTGCCTAACGGAGAGCAATATCAAATATTAGAAATTTATATAGGATACTTTTTGTCGTTAGTATGGACACACATGTGGAGGTCCCAAATGTCGTTGAATTAATGTCTGCAGATTTTTCAGTATACAACGTAGCGTTATCGGGGAGACCGGGGCATGTACGATATAAATAAAACATTACTGGCTGAACCAACCAATCAATTTGCCACGGTCTCTCCTACCATGTATACTTCTTTTCACCTTATGCTCTCCGTTCTTGAACGGGGTGACCAATTATTGTAGTACCCTTGATTAGCTCCGAGATTTCGAGCAGCACTCCATCTTAAAAAGTGATTCCTCAGCGTGTTCTGTACTTCTGTGTTGAGAAAGCAGTAGAACAACGCCACGGACAGACCCTGAAATCAAGAGAAAACGTTACACTGGACTATTTTATCACTAAACACACATAGAACGACGAAATAATTGAAGTAACGTAAGATCGGGTTACTTTACTTGTGACGAGAGTAAGACCGCGCGTGCGTACGAAAATACATTGGCGACTTGGCCCTCCGTAGGTCCAGCCAGAACTAAGACGTAAGTAACTCCCAGCAAAGGAATGAGAACCAGAAGAGCTTTACTGGCTTTCCTGTATTGTTGCGTCTCGACATTGTTGGCTGACCTAAGCTTCGTAATCAGCACCTAAAAAAATATTGGTCATCGGTAATTCAAATAGCAGGTGGATGATTTACTCGATATCACGGTTCACCTTCTTCACTTACCCACATGATCATGAAGAGGAAGAGCACGTTGATGCCCAAGACCAAGATCGCAGGGGCCTGGTAGAACCAATCGTAAGGATGAGGTATCATCCATGGACAATGCCTCCACAAAGCTGCATTCTGCAAAATCAACATTGTTACAAATAATGTGCCTATTAAATATATCTCGTAATTACATTCCCCGAAACCGTGACGAACTGCATCGAACTACGGTCTACCACCATCCGCTGTCATTAATATCAGTTAAACGTCACTTACATTACCCGCAATACGGCCTTTAACGAGCTCCGCTATATTTTCGATACCTCGGAATCCCCGAGAAGCAATTATTTTAAACGGCATGCACTGTACGGCTATCAGCTGATTAACCTAACCTTCGCACCAAACGTTTACCTGATTCGTCCGGTGTATATTCTCTGCAAGCGACTTGGCAATCGCCCAAACGGCTATAATCAAGATCGGTATTCCTGTAAAACGAGCATGACGTCAGTAAAAGCCATATAGATGTAAAATTGCACACCAGGGGAATCCCCGAAGCGAGAGTAAATCCCGATAAAGCTTAAACTCGGCAGTTTTTTTTTAATACGTTAATGGCGTTGTTTTAATATTTACTGAAATATATTATAATGAAAATTAAAGGGTATTATATTATAATCGACTTACCCCAGCCAATGACGAGGCATAGTTTTAGTTTAATATTGTCACCGGTGAAGGTCTTTACGACTAACAAGTACAGGTACAGCCCTGAAAGCGAGTAAAAAATTGGAATGAATAATTCGCAGCTGTAACTTCGATCTTCTATGCGGATAGTAATCGCAGAAGTCGTGAAATTCTCAACATCCAGGCAATTCGCCAGCGGTATTTGGAAACGTATTTCACGGTTGGCGAGAGTTCTCCTCTGATAATATGTACGACGCGAAAGTAGCTATGAGATTTGCTGCCAGGATATGATGCCAGGAGAGTGTGCTCGTATGTATTGAGACGTATACACGATAATAACATCACGTACTGACGACGCGTCATGTTTGCTACGACCCTCGCGTCGGGAAAAGGCACCCTCCGAAATGACACTGCCTTGTATACGTCTTCGCGAGATTTCAGATGCTTCGCGAGACGCGACCAAATTGGGTTTGACAAAATCTAAAGTACAGGCAATAATGATATGGAAGAAAACATAGTCCGAGTTTGTTGCTCACCTTCGACAAACATCCAGAAAAAGTTGGTCAGGTGGAAGTAATGAAGAAGGGAGAAGAGTATGACACAGGTAGGGATGTCCGAGTGCATGGATACCTGAAACATTTATCCGTTCTAATTAAAAAATCATTGCTTTCATCATTGCAATAATTTTTTTTTTTTTCGTTCTACGCCTTCTAGCAGTGATTTACAGCTGAGCATAAACAATTACACAAATTATGAATAATTTCTCTTGGAGAAAGTCTGGGATTACCTGCATCACCGTTGTTAGGATCCAGACCAGGTCGGCAAGGATGTAGGAGAACATCAGGTTCGCATGGATATTGTTCCGCAAACATCTCAGTTCTCTAAAAAGAGAAAAAAAAAATTAAAGCAGGGACATCTGAAAAAGAGAAGTCGATTTTCCAAACTCTCGAATGTTTCGATCATTCCCCTCGGAGAACAAGGGTATTCCCTCCTATGAACGAAAGCATCAAAGTCACTCAGGAGGGGAATCCCTGTACCGCTTTCGCCATTACTTAGCCATTACTTCGTTAACTGGAATTTTCAACTGGCCTTTTCTTTTTCATAAATAAAATTGCTGTCAGTCAGCGCTCAAAGTAGAAAGGGTTATAATATAATTAAATGGGGATGTCGTACTTGAAGTGCAGAAATATAGACACGGCTACGGTGAGCATCAACAGCGACAGCGTGTAGCCGATGAAGTATAACATAGACGTGATCTCGACCCCACTTTCTACAGCCAATTGTCGGAGGTCGCGACACGAGGAATAGTTCGAGTAATCCCAGGTTCCATTTGGCCAGCACCATCTGGTGGCGTTCTCTGGAAACAAGAAAGTCAGGATCGTAACCAACCGGTCGCACAATGTCGGTAAACTAAAGGTACGCGATGATTCGTAAGATTATTGAACAAGGTGGTAATTTTTCCGTAAAAAAAAAAAATTAAAGAACGGTCGCCAGAAATTAATTCATAAAGGGAATGTATTTCGAGAGCGATCAAACTTTAGAGCGTTTCAGAGCGCACGGTTTGGAAAAATGATACTTCGTTTTCAGTAAGCGCACGTCTCGATCCGAGCTGCAAAATCCGCAATTAGCCATGCTTGTACAGCGATGGCGCCTCGCTGATCACACCGTTTCAGCCGTAAAATAGAGCTAATCGGCTCGAATTATGCCCCTGGCCTTGATCTTTTCTTTCCACCCTCTGGTTCAGAAATGCGAATAGTGGTAGGTTCGGGTGACATCGATTGCTGCCAGTATAGGTCAAACCGAATCAGGACAAGGTGAATGAGCGAGTCGTGCTAGGCGCCATTCAGCAACACCGCAAACCCAGGAAGTTCCATCTTCGGCGTTATGGCACACGGATATTTCACATTTTAAGGCCATTTCCTTTCGAACGAGTCGGATTCCCGGTCAATTGACTTCAATAGGGGGCAGTTTTCCCGGGACGAATTTTTATCGTAAGAGGCCTCGATGCCCAAACGCACTTTTCGAGGGTCTCGACCAATTAATTCGTAAAAGCGGGAAGTGCTCGTGTTTCCCCTGCAACGTACGAAGAGATATAAATGTTTCGCCCTGGACAGGTTCGTAGGATCAAGAGCTAGACTCGCTTCCTCTTCCCTGGCGGCTTTGATCCGCCGAGTCGACTTCCATCCTTTTTTGCCTCTCTTCCTTTCGCCTAATACCTACTCCGACTTTACGATCGCGCAACCTGCAGAGGGTCCGCGGCGGAGGTCAATTTGTAGAACAGACGGTACTTAATCGCATCAATCCAAAGCTGAGAGATTTTCAGGAAAATTCCGTTTAAGATCCCCTTTGTCTCCTAACTGAATTTCGCCTCCAAGTGTCCACGGACGGTCGAGGAGGACGAAATGGCGCGAGCCAGCGATTCCTCCTCTAAGTAAAGACGAGAGATGCCGAGAAGACGGCCGATTTCATAAACCCATCTGAACCCGGCACCTGCACCAGATAACTAAGTCATCCGCATACAAAGACACCCCGAGTGCGATGCGTACGGTTATAACGACGAGGGCAAACAAGAATGTTGGTTCCCTATAGGAAGGATTCCGGTTGGCAAATATTTAATCCCCTCTAACGTCGAAGACGTTCGAGTTATTGCAAAGCCAACACCACCCGAGACCGTGCCGTCTCCTTCATCGAGGAGGTCGGTACTTCCCACGAATGACTACCATCGAGGGATCCGTTTTAAATTCCATCCTCCCTTTTTCCAGGCTCGTCGAGAGGAGGAGCCGACGACGGCATTACCAGCCGTCAGGACGAAAGTCTCGGTTGCGTTATCGGAACCCCAAGGAAGGCGTCGGGTCGTCGCTTAGAAATTTTCCCACACCGTCCAGGATAACTGGAACGGCTTTCTCGTCCGTTAATCGAGCCACCATCGGAGGATAATGGCGTTCCATCCGATCGTCGATGAAGTTGGGTCACTGGACATATCCGTGAACGAGGCAAATTGGGGCACCGCGGTCTTCCGTTCGCGTTCCACCGGCACACCTGTATCAGGCTTCCAATTTTCCAACGATAGCGCGGTTAAGAGCAATCCTCTTGGGCCGAGCGGTACATCCTATTAAACATACTTCCAGGATTAGACCTACCGAAGCGTCGATGGGCCTTCGTAATGGCAGCCATTATGGAGCGCGTCGTTCGCCGCTCAAATATTGGAAGTGCGGCCGGGTGGGAAGCGAAACGGGGAAAGAGAACGTCATTCGAGGGCCCATTCCGTGCGACCACGTAACCACCTGCAGTTTCCAATAAATGCATCGCCTTCAAGATTCGATTATGACACACCACCTGGGCACGCGCTCCGTACCCCAGGACTCCGCCCAACGATCGAGCCGGGACGGTTCTTACTCCCGTTTCAAAATATACCTAACTACCAAAAAAAAACATAAAAACCTCAACTGCGGCTCCAAGAACCATGTCCCCAATCACGACCCTGACATCCTTTGATCACCGGCGATGATTCCCCGTTCCGTTGCCACATCGATATTTCGGAATGACTATTCCCAGGTGCGAATATGCAAGCACTACTTGCTCGTTTTAACCCAGTATATCTGGAACGAGACCGATCATTTGAATATCGCTGATGTGGCCGAACACCTGCGTCGTTTAGTGCGCATATTGTCCCTTATGAACCATATCCCAAACCTGAGCTGATAGCGTGTAGGATCGCCCATTGAATACCAGGACATACACCCGTCTCGACGCTTATGTGGTCTCGTGAGAACCGATAACCGCTGGATGGTAATCGTTACCTTTACGATCGATTACCATCTCCATTGTCGAGGGCTTTCGGTGCTGCGCCCGAAATCCGCGGATGGACCGCTTCCAAGTTTCTTTCGTAATTTTCGTAACGAGTCGCCTGCATGATCGCTGGATATACCTCGGTATTAATTGTCAGCAATCGGTTGTACAATTTAATGATCGATCATTAGGAACTCGGGTTCCCAGGGGATGGTCGATGACGGCGCGATCTGGAGTTTCGGCTAATCCGAGGAGATGGAATTACTGGAACCGAGCAGTGGCAACAAAGAGGCCAATCGAATCGGAGTCTGGTCCGGACGTGCAAACATCGGATCGCGGGTTGAATCAATTAACGCGGCCCGACATAATCATCGAGCTAGTTAACGCGCATATCAATGGACATTCAGAAATCGACGTAAACGAGGGCGACTCGCCCCGACAATGTGTACGCCATCGCGAGGGATCGAAACGTGGATGTTTGCGTAAACCGAGGTATTTCCACGATATCCTTAATCCTAAAACCTACCCTCGTTATCGACGACAAACTCGTATATTTGCAGGTACCGACGATTCCCTGCGAGTCTCGGGGTGCCAGGAAATAAGCTACGAATTATTTTCATTTTTTGCGTTCGCGGGGTAAACTCTAGGGAACAAGAATGCATTTTCTCCATGCAGGGCGACGCAGGGATTTAAACTTAATCCGGAGAGAACGCCTAGAAAAGCGTTCTCGTTTGATCGAAGAAAAGCGACGTTGGCACGAGGAACGCCCAATTCGGTTAACCTACCCTAACCCTTGTGTTGGACAGTTTCGACGTATGCCGCAGTTACCTCGGTCCATATTCGAGATCGTAGTGCCCCAGGGTAGAATGTGGGACGCGTCATTTCGGAGCGTTAGGGCCAAACGCAATTATCGACTGGCGTGCCTCGGCGGGGGACTCGGACTAATTCGTAAAGAAACCCTTAATTCGAGCGGCGACGGCGACGCCTCGCGGCGGGGGCGCGAACTCGCGCCAATTAGCATCGGCCACTGTCTATAAGGTTCGGCAAACATCGGGTCGCGTCTTGCGTAAGGGGACGACGAATTTATTGGATCGACGGTCCGCGTCGTAACGTCGTTTCCTCGTCCCTGAAAGCTTCTTCGCTTCGAGCGGACAATCGTCGCCGCGAAATTAGATTTCGGGCAAAGGGTTAGGGCGCGGCGGCCATATTGATTTTTCCCGGTTAGGCCGTGCAAGGGCCGGGGATGGATGCACTCCTCCGAGAGGATCCTCTCCACGGTCCACGGACAAAAACTTCCCCTCCTCGGAACAACAAAAACCGCCATGAGGACCCTTACTCGACCGTACCTTCGGTTTAAGAACCAAGTTTCCCGCGCCATAACTCGCGGCATAGCGCGCTACGATGCGTGGCCGTAACTTGAAATTAGAGCTCGGAAGTTCCCGAATAAATGCCGTCGTTTCGGGATCCTGGAGCTCCTGCTCGGTGCATCGGGATATTTGCATGCCAATGCAACGACTTTCTGGGTTAGGACAGCAATCGGGGCGATCGACGGCCGATACGAGCAGTCATTGTTCCCGGTGAACGGAATCTTATTCAGCTTCCGTGTCATAAAGTTCCGAGAACGGCGAATACGGGAATTTTTATGGAAAAGAAAGCCAAGAATTTTCCCTCCCGCGGGAAATGAATGAGAGGCCCTTAAACGATGAAAATTCGGAAGAAGACCCGACTTTACGGGACGGGAATCCCTTGGACAGCGTGGTCGATGACAGCGGAATTACGTCAACGGCGTTGTTTCCGCCGCGATATTGCTATAAATGGGGCCGCTATTGTCCTGCATTCTTCGCGTTGTCCATCCAGAACGACGAGGGGCGGTCGTGGCGTGTCCCAGGCCGTAAAATTGCTTTCAACGGGCGCTTCTCCTCGCGTGGAAACGCGCAACCATCCGGCACGTTTTTGGCCTCGTGGCCAGGAATATGAGGCGGGACGCGTCAGTCCGTTCTACTTTCTGTAATCACGGGAGTAATCCCATGGCGTAGACCCAGGGAGGTTTATGACGCCCGCCCTACGGCGTTATGAAGTTCGCCCAAGAGTAGACCCTCGCAAAAATATTACCGCGCCCTATCAAATAGTCCTAGAAATTTGGCGAATAATTTTTCTCCCCCGGCGTGATCGCACCGGTTTAAATCGTTCCACCGTGAAAACAGCCGGAAGCGATCCTCGTCCACGCTAAGCGTGCCCGATTGAAGCTCGACCCTTCGAAATGGTGCAATTATTATCTAAAGCAGATTCCATTAGCTCTCCAAATAATGCAGATCGTTCGGTGGGCTTAATTGGACCACCACGCGTGCCCTGCGCCGTGTACACGTTCGCGTAATGGGACTAAACGACCACCCCCTGTATCCGCGGTGCATGGAGGATGCACGAGATATTGAATGCATTATGTATACATTTTTGCATCCAAGCTGCGTCGTGCCCGAAGTCGAATCTGCATATATATGCCAGCGCGTAAACCGCTTAATCCGCGTTCAAGCTTACGAGGTCCCAACGCGAAGAACAATGTCGGCCGAC